ACACCCTCTGTCCAAAAACTCTCTCTTCCACACAAAACCCCTCTCTCTGTCACCCACCCTCTCTGTCACACCCACTTCCTTTCACACCCCACTCTCTCTGTCACACACACCCCCCCCTCCTGTCCTACACCCACTCCTGTCACCACACAAACCACCACTCTCTGTCACACCCCCCACTCTCTGTCACCCACCACCACTCCTTCACACACACACCACTCTCTGTCAACACAGCTCTTCCACACACACACCACACTCTCTGTCACACACACACCACACCTCTTCCCCAAACACACAACCTCTCTCTTCACCAAACACTCTCCTGTACACAAACACCACCCCTTTACACAAAACACCACTTTCCACACAAACCACTTTCACACAAAACAAAACACCCACACACACCCTCTCGTCACCAACACACACACCCTCTCTCGTCCCAAAAACACAAAACCCATCACACAAAACATACACAAACCAAAATGTCACACACACCACACCTCCTGTCACACAAAAACCCCACTGGTCACACAAAAAACCTCTCTCTGTCTCTCACCTCACACTCCGTCACACCAAACACACACAACTGTCCACAAAAACACAAACCCCTGTCCTCACACCACCTCTCTTTCACACACAAACACACCACACTTCCCCTTTCCCCCACCCACCCTCTGTCCACCCCACCAGTCAACACTCACACACAAACACACTCTCTGTCACCACACACTCTCTCTTTTCACCCAACCCCCTCTCTCTTCCACACCAAACCCCTCTCTTCCACCACATCTCTTCCACACCTCTCTCTCTTCTCTCTTCCACCCACCCCCCACTCTCTCTCTCTCTCCCTTTCACACACACTCTCTCTGTCACACCCAAAAAACCTCTCTCTCCCCTCTGTCCCACAACTCCTCTCTCTCGTCCACACACCTCTCCCTATTCACACAACCCCTCATGTCACCAAACCCCTCTCTCCCCTCTGTCCACACACTCCCTTCACCACACTCTCTCTTCACACCACTCTCTCTTCACACACCCCCTCTCCTGTCACCACACCTCTCTCTTCACCACACATCTCCTGTCACACACACCTCTCTTCCCACACCACCTCTCTCTGTCACACACACACACCACACCACCCCCCCAAAACACTCTCTGTCCCAAAACACAAACCCCTCTCGTTCACACACAAAAACCCCTCTCGTCACCACAAACACACTCCTGTCACACACAAACACACTCCGTCCACAAAAAACCTCTCTGTCCCCAAACCACTCTCTTCCACAAAACACACTCTCTTCACACACAAAAACACTCTCTTCCCCCCCACCCCACTCTGTCACACACACCCCACCACACTCAACCTCTCTGTCACACCACACTCTCTCTGTCACACCCCCACACTCTCTCTTCCACAACAATTCTCCCCTGTCACACACACTCTCTGTCACAATCTCTCCTCTCCTCTGTCACCCCAAAACCCCTTTCGTCTCCTCTTCACCCACTCTCTTGTCCCCACCCTCTCCCTTTTCTCTTGTCACCCACCCCCTTTTCCTCTCTTTCACACCAACCCCCCCTCTCTTTTGCCACACACCTTCTATGTCCAAAACCCCCCTCTCTCTCCTTCACACAACTCTCTCGTCCACACACTCTCTTGTCACAACCTCTCGTCACACACACTCTCTCTCTGTCACACCACCTCTCTCTGTCCCACACCACTCTCTCTGTCACCACACACTCTCTCTTCACACACACACCCCCCTCCTTCACCACACCCACCACACACACACAAACACCTCTTTCCACCAAACCTCCTCTTCACACCCAAACACACTCCTGTCCCACCAAAAACACTCTCTTCCCCAAACCACTCTCTTCCCCCCAAAAACACCTCTGCACACACAAACACCTCCCTTCCCCCCAACCACCTCTGTCACCCAACACACTCTCGTCCCACACCGTCTCACACCCAAAACAAAAACATCTCTGTCACACACAACACACTCTCTGTCCCCAAAACAAAACACCTCCTCTGTCACCACCTCTCTCTCTTCACCACACCTCTCTCGTCACACCACACCACCCACCTTGTCCCCCACACTCCTGTCACCCACCACACCTCTCTGTCCACATCTCTCTCGTCACACACACTCTCCCTCCACACCTCTCTCCTGTCCACACTCTCCCCTCTGTCCCCACCACACCCCCCACTCTCTGTCTACCACACACCTCTGTCACACCACACCCACTCTCTTCACACAACAAACCCCTCTCTGTCCAAAACACACCACTCTCTGTCACCCACCCTCTCTGTCACACACACACCCCCACACACTCTCTTCCCCACACACACACACTCTGTCACACACACACCACAACCCACCCAAACAACCCCTCTGTCACCACACCCCTCTCTGTCACAACACACTTCTCTGTCCACCCCCCTCTCTCTCCCCCTCCTTGCAAAACCTCTCTCTTCCTTTTTTTTGTCAAAAATTTTGTAATCTTTTTTTTCCCCCAAAAATTTTTTCCTTTTGTCCCCATTTTTTATGTAAAATTTAAAATTTACAAACATTTTTTTGTTTTTTAAATTTTGAAAATTGGGCCCCAAGGGGGGAAAAAATTTTTTAAAAATTTTTGTAAACAATTTTGCAAAACAATTTTTTACCCACAAAACAAAAACAACTCTCTTCCCACAAAAACCCCTCTCTTCCCCCATTTGCCCCCAACAAACCCTTTTGTCAACACAACAAAACCTCTTTCCAACAAACCCCTCTCTTCACACACACCCCCTCTCTTTCCCCCCCCCAACCCCCTCTCTGTCACACACAAACCCCTTTCTTTCCCAAACACAACTCCCACACCACACCTCTCTTTCCCACAAAACACCTCCTGTCACACACAAACACACTCCTTTCACACACACTCCCCCCTTCACACCCCCTCCCTGTCACACACACCACCCCTTTTGCACACACACCCCTCCTGTCACACACAAACACACTCTCTTTTACACACACACCCACCACACAACACCCCTCTGCACCACACTCTTTCCCCACCCCAAAACACCCCACACACAAACACCCTCCTTTTCACCCCAAAACCAAACAAAAACACCCCCTGTCAACCAAACCCCCTTGTCCACACAACCAAACCCCTGTCCCCAAACACCTCTCTTCACACAAAAAACCTCTCGTTACACCACACATCCCCCAAAACAACACAAAACCCCCCTCTCTGCCCCCACACACCTGCCCCACACCACACCCTCACACACCACACACTCTCTGTCACACCCAAACCCCCCCCCACACAAACACACTCTCTTTCCCCCAAAAACCTCTCTTCCCCAACAAAAAAAACCCCTCTGTACACACCCACACAAATCCCCCCCCAACCCACCCCCCCACCACCAAACACTCTCTGTCAACACAAAACCACCTCCTGTCACCCAACACACCTCTCTGTCCACACAAAAAACCCTCTCTCTCCACACACAAAACACAAAAAACCCTCCCACAACCCAAAAAACACCAAACTCTCCCGTCCCCAACACACAAACACACACTTCCGTCCCACACAAAAACCCTCCTGTCACACACCCTCTCTGTACAAAACCCCCGTCCCCAAAAACCCCCGCACAACCCTCTCTGTCAAAAACCCCCTTCCTTTCCCCCAAACCCCTCTCTTCAAAACACCCCTTCTCCCCCCCTCTGTCAAACCCCCTCTCGTCACACACTCCCCCCCTCTTTTGTCCCCCCCAACCCTCTCTGTCACACCCTCTCCTCTTCAAACCTTCTCTCGTCACACACCCCCTCCCCCTCTTTTCACAAAACCCCTCTCTTGTCACCCACTCTCCCCTCCCCCCCTCTGTCCCAAAACCCCTCTCTCTTCACACACCCTCTCTCTGTCACACCTCTCTCTTTTTCCCCAAAACCCCTCTCTTCACACACCCCCCTCGTCACCCCCAAAAACCCTTCCCCGTCACACCCCCCCCCAAAACACCTCTCTCTGTCACACACCCCCAAACCCCCCCTCTCTGTCACAACCCCTCCGTCACACCCCTCTCGTCACAAAAACCCTCTCTGCAACACACCCTCTCTGTCCCAAAAACCCCCCTCTCTGTCACACTCTCTCTCTGTCACACACTCTCTCTCTGTCACACACTCTCTCCTCTGTCACACCTCTCCCTGTCACAACCTCTCTCCTCTCCCTGTCACACCGCTCTCTCTGTCACACACTTCTCTCTCTGTCACAACCAGCAGAAACCATCTCTTCTGTCACAACTCCCTCTCTGTCCCACCTCTCTTGTCACACAAACACAACACTCTCTCTGTCACACAAACACAAACACACTCTCTCTGTCACACAAACACAACTCTCTCTCGTTTCTCGCGGTCACACACACAAACTCTCTCTCGGTCCACCCACGACAAACACACACTCTCTGTCAACACACACTCTCTGTCACACACACACACTCTCGGTCACACACACAAACACACACTCTCTCTGTCACACACTCTCTCTCTGTCACACACTCTCTCTCTGTCACACACTCTCTCTCTGTCACACACTCTCTCTCTGTCACAAAACCTGCTCCTCTCTGGTCACCACTCTCTCTCTTCACACCTCTCTCGCTCCTCTCTGTCAAACACCAACTCTCTCTCTGTCCCACACACTCTCCTCTCTAGTCCACCCTCCCCCTCTCTGTCACACACTCCTCTCTGTCACACACTCCCTCTCTGTCACACACTCTCTCTGTCACACAAACACACACTCTCTGTCACACACACACACACACACACTCTGTCACACACACACACACACACACTTTCTGTGTCACACAAACACACCCTCTCTCTCTGTGTCAAACAAACACACTCTCTGTGTCACACAAACACACACTCTCTCTGTGTCACACAAACACACACTCTCTCTGTCACACAAACGCACACAGCCCTCCTTTCAATTCTCCGTCAGCGCAGCACAATCTCCTACACAGCAGGTATTAAACGGGTGGCGCCTCGTCTCCCTATTCTGCATCCTGCTGTGTTGGTGACAGTAGTGTGGCCGGTGAGGTCTCTGGCCTCCTTACCCTCGGCCACGGTGAGCAGGCTGCCAAAGTCTGCGTTGGTGTGTGAGAGAGGGGGCTCTGAGCTCTTGACCTGGCCCAGTATGAGGAAGGGGTCGTAGTCAGTGGAGAGGTCAGACAGACTCAGGAGGTAGTGGCTCTGCTGGGTGTGCAGGTTGGAGCCAGAGACACAGCAGTGTAGCACCTACGGGACAGAGGATAGGAGTCAACACCTAGTGGGTTAAAAACACTACAGGAGAAAGACAGTGGTAACCTTGCATTCAGTCACTGCTACTGTTTCTTTGTGTGGCTGGCTGCACAGCATCAACAAATACATGGGACTCATAAATTAGATAATTACAGACACTACCAAGTCTGCCTGAGAGTTACAGAATATCAGTGGGGACTATGTGACAGTGGTGGCACTGGACGGCAGCGGAAGCCAGTGAACAGCTGAACAACATTGACCTTACAGTAACTGAAACACAGAGAAAGGAAGTAACTAGGCAAGTCAATTTAAAATGATACAGTAATCTCAAACGCAGAGGTTCCAGGTAAGGAAGCGAGCATCGGATGGTTGAGGAACATACGAAGGGGGACTATATGGTCTGTTTGCCATGGTAACCCTCCACCTGAGGGAGGAGAGGCGCTTTATTGCCACTAATCCATTTCTCCTGTGATGAGTGAGTATCGATCTGCATAACAGATGGTGCGGCATCCGTCCGTTCGGTTGGCGGGACTAGATTAGACATGCTAGGCCAGTTGATTACACTGATTGGCCAGGTTTACTCTGTTTGATTTAATTAAGACTTTATCCTTCTGCTCATGTTGCCACAAACATGCACCCACAACTACACACACACACAAACACATGCACTCAGACACACACACAAACACAGGCACTCAGACACGCACACAAACAAACACCTATGCTCTGTATACAGTGAAGTATTTGGAAGTATGTCAATGATAAGTTGTCTACTGGTTTTTGTCTATGTAAGTTTTAGTTTATATATATTTTTAAAAAAAAATGTGGAAGCTACGCCTGACATACCAGACAATAGCAAACTGTGGGGCCTCTCACATTGAGTGGGTGGACTTGGTAAACCCATTGTGGAGGCTGGTCTATGTAAATGAATGGCTAATCCCATTCAACACACACATGCACACTTGGCCAAGGATCAGAGAGGAGAGGTACAGGTCCTGTCATCTGAAACAGTATTGTGTGGGGAAATGCAGACAGTATGTGGATTATAATGCCTTAGAGTCCTCTGGGTATGGGGGGGGGGGGGGGGGGGGGGGGGGGGGGGGGGGGGGGGGGGGGTTATGGTGAAAAGACCAGAACCAAACAGCTGCCACACCAAAGCCCTAAAGTGGTTCCTCTGTGGAGGAGAAAAAAAGCTTCTGCTTGCTTGACGACTAAGTGGCTGCACCTCGCATAGCAACAGTTCCAGGAAGGTAACAAACATGGATACGTGTAGACACATATGCACACTCACTCATGGACACACAAAAACATGCACACAAGGAAACATACACACACACACACACAGCGAGGGTGCAGCTGCTGAGGCAGGCAGAGAGCAGATGGAGGACACGGCATGGAGGTCCAGAGCAATCATGCCTTTTGCACAGACCAGCCTCATGCTGTTAGACACAAATACAACAAATACCAAGCTCAAACCCTCAGCAGAGGTGCAGAAATCTCCCATCTTTATTCATCAGCATATGAAAAGGGTCACTTTTAAGTTGAATCTGTTCATTGAGGATTTGGTATAAGAAACAACTAAATAGTTACTATAACAAATTCAAAAGAGATGCATAAACTAGACAAATCGCTTTATTCATTTTGTGAGGTTTACTGGTATGTAAATGAGTGCCTAGCTGAAAAGACTGAGAATTAAATATTTATATAAAGTGTTTCTTTGGGGAGTACAGTTTTGAAAATAATTTGGTATGGGAGACCAGTAGAAGTGCATTTTGTGTGTGCGTGATATTTTTCTGGTTTTATTACATTAATGTTGTCCAAATATGTTACTCCTCACATTATATATCTGAAAACAAGAGGACAAGCATTTCACTAAGATCAGTGTTACACTGATTTACCTATGATGAAATTAAGTGACAGTTTACTTTTATGTGCACAATAGAACCAATGACATTTATTTATTTCCTACATAGCAGCTGCAGTCTCTCCCATATTAAGATATATTCAATTCAAATCTAGACAGGCTTTAAAATCCAGGCTTATCACAAGGACAAAGACATATTTAAATAATTTGACCATTTCTTATCAGGGGTGACATCCATATAAAGGTTTGTCTTTGACCGCATCTGTCAAACCTCCACTGAATAATACCTCATTCATTTAGACTGATGCTCAGCCTCTCCTCTGCGTTTAATCGCTAAATAAGGGTTCAAACACCCAATCGGGAAAAATAAAAAGGCAAGAACAAAGTAACCTAAAATACTTCCCTGTTATAAATCAATGTTTCTGTGTATCACATGTGTATTACCAAACAGGTGGGGTGGTTTGGTGGATATTCTCACATAACAGTAGAAACTGGAAACCAAAATTTGAAAATTAATTTCCAAGGTGTCATAGAACACTTTAAATGCAAAATAGGGCTTCTGAAGAGGTCTGTGGTGTGGGTAAGACAAAGTACTATGACACTATTCTTTTCTGTTACCCACCCTGTAGATGTAGTCGAGCAGAGGGGCCTTGTGGGATGTGGGGTCCTCCAGCACGGGCATTGTGATGGGCTCCAGCAGCATGCTCAGGGGCATGGCCATACACCAGTCCAGCAGGCACAGCAGCAAAGACACCATTAGCTGAGTCACACAAATAGAGGAGAGGCTTTTCCATTAGCCCAGTGCCCTCCACACACACAATGAAGCCTACTGCGGACAAAGATAATTAGTAAAGCAGCTAGGGAGGAGATGAGCAATGGAGAGAGGTAATTAGGGAGGGAGAGAGCGAGGGATGGACTGAAAGTGAGAGGGTGAGAGAGTGAGGGCTGGAGGGAGAAAGAGAGAGAGCTGGAGGGAGAGAGAGCGAGAGGGAGAGAGAGAGAGAGAGAGTGAGGGAGATGATGATGCGAGAGAAGAGAGAGAGCTCGGAGAGAGATAGAGAGAGAGGCCGAGAGACGAGAGGAGACGAGCAGAAGGAGAGAGAGCTTGAGAGAGAGAGAGAGAGAGAGAGAGAGAGGAGAGCGGATGGAGAGAGAGAGACGAGAGGAGGAGAGATGAGGAGAGAGGAGAGAGGAGAGAGAGATGAGAGAGAGAAGGAGAGAGAGAGAGAGAGAGAGCTGGAGGGCAGAGAGAGAGAGAGGGTGAGGGAGAGAGCGAGAGCGCTGGGGTGAGAGGAGAAGAGCTGGATTGGGAGAGAGAGAGAAGGATAGGGGAGGACCCAGATTATGGTCCAGATAGAACAAGATTCCTGTGCAAATGCACTCGCTACATCTATGAAGAAAGGGTCCTTCAGACTTCAGCCATTTTATGCCCTTTCAATTTCCTATACCTTTTTGTCAGCCTCCACCGTCGAGTGCTCTGCGCTCGGCAACAGAAATGCTATAGTGGCCACAAAGATCTGCATGGCACAAAAAGATAGGGATACTTTGACGACATGTATTTCGCAAGTGATAGTGGATAGCATGTCTCATATTAGCAAGGTGCGGGGGAGCTGTGGCATCCTACCTCAATGATTTTCTTTGGGAGAGAGCGCTCTAGCCTCTGGAGGTGTTCCCAGTGAGAGATGAGGAGCTGAAACAGGTCACAGGCTACCTGAGCCACAGTTTTGTTCCCAAACTGACCAGAGAGGGGACACGAGAACAAGATATCCGGGTTAAAAACTCTGGGAAGTCGTAGGATGAGTAGTTGTACAATACCAGGATGGGGACCTCTGGCACAACAGAAAAAGGTATGAAAATGTCTTGGTTCTGCAAAGACCTTTCTTTCAAACTACAGTTCATTAATGGACGGATTGGCAGACAGCTGAAAATTGTGATTTGGAATTCAGGGCACAGAAATAGAATTTCCCCTGTTTTCTGGCTGAATGCCTCTTGACATGTAACAAGGGCAGACAATGCAGAAATGGCCCAACACAAAAAGAGACCCTGAGAGTTTAGCACCTGCTTTTAGAAAAGCACCCCTCCCTCCCTCCCTCGCCTCCACATCCCCTTTATTTTGGGCCGGCTGAGTGTGTGTGTCAAGTTGGACTGGGGAGTGATTACTGCTCCATTAGAGGGAAGGACTGCACTAGTAGGAAACTAGAGGTGAGATGTGGTTGCTTAAATTGGACTGCATCCACTGAGAGCGAGTGGCCTGGAAATTACACCACAGCCCTCGAGCTCGTTCCCCAAAACCCTCAGAAAGAACTGGTTCTCTCTGCATCTATTCACTGATAGACAGGGGAGCAGAGGTCTTCAAAAATCTGTTTGAGTCACACCACTGAGCACGTTGGCACTCACAGACGCTGATGAACACACTCACCTTTAGTGTTACACCCAGAACATTGATGGCATCCTCGACCTGGTGGTGAATATTCTGCTGCATTAGCTCCTCGCATACCCACAGGCCCAGACTACATACAGCCATACACCTAAAAGACACAGTAGACCAGTGAGAATACTGATATACGCTACGGGACCAATTACTCACTCTTGTTGTATCTCTGTTAAGTTTCACTACCCCTCTATAATGTTCTTCTTACATTACACATATTCATCAAATATTTTATTTCAATATACTATTTATCTGAAATATGAACCTTAATCCACTCAATATAATCAGTCCCATTGCTTCACAACCACCATTCTTCCGCACCCCTATCCCTTCTATACCTGGCCGCTTCACAGGGTTCATTCCGTGCAGACTTCAGTAAGATGTTGACCAGATAGTCCTGAAGGGAGAGGGCAGAGAGAAGACATGATGATGACCAATCCACTTCATTACCATCCAAACGTTCCATCTTATTCATCAAAATACATCAATTGTAACTACAGGGAACTGCTATACCATTTTTAAAAATGTGTTTGCTGTCTGAGTATTTACTAAAAAGGTCAAAGGACATGGAAGAACTCTTAATACCTTGATGTCCTCGTTCCGGACAACGATGTCATCAGTTCCGGGAATGGTCTGCAGTAGTGGAATCTGCAGGTAGAGGTTGGGAAAACAGACCAGCGACCCAAGGACAGTCTGTGCTTCTATCCTCGGAGCCTTTCAGAGGAAAATAACACACATTCGTCATCTCATCGCTACAGAACATGAAACATTACGATTCCAGGAAAATCGTCCAAGAGCTGCGGCATTATGGCCTTGAGTTGAATTCACCGCAGTACATTCAACACACTCTAATCTGAACTTCAGAATGAAGTTTAGCAGAATATGTATAATGACCCTAAATGTTATTACATCAAATATTGCTTTTTAATATTTCCATTAGCCAACTGATATAATGCATTATAATTCAGTTGTAGCTAATGCAATGTAAGACTTGCCATACTGTGTACCTCGGAGGAGTCGTTGCTGAGGATGCGTGCTGCAGCGGTGATGAAGTCCCCCACCAGCAAGGTGAAGCCCGGCAGGCCCAGGAAGAAGAAGCGCGGGGAACAGGAACGGATGACTGTGTTCAGAACGTCCTGGGAGGGATCAAACACCACACAGATGGTAATGGTGGTCAGGTCAATGGATTGATTGAACGATCATTAAAATACACATATTTTGTAAGCAGGTTGTATGTATTTCTGAGTTAGTTTATTTTGGGGAATGGACAGACACTGAGCTCAGGAAAGGAATGATTGCATAGTAGTCCTTCCCAAATTGGTACAAATATGACAACAGTGCACTCAGGATAGCACAGAATTTCACAGTCCATCTTTTACAAAACCCAAAAATGAGAGTTTGAACGAGGGATGGAAGAAAAGAGGGGAACAGGAGAAAGAGGCAGCAGATGGGTTGATCACAGCACAAGGGAGGCGGAATGGTGGAACAAAAGACCTGCAACTTTCCACACACACACACACAAACACGTAATTAAAGCCAGGGATAAGGTATTGTTCAGGTGCACAGTGATCTCTCTGTGCCAGATGGGTGTTGACATAAGCTGTATTAAAGAGTGATTTCTCTATACGTGGGCAGATAATACAGCTCCATAACAACAATGGATCGACGACCATCTTATTACCCTGATGGCTAGTAAAAGTACAGTCATGTTGCCTTAAAATGTCAGGAGTGAACTGAAATTCTTTATGAGATAAGAATGTAAAAGGCCTACATAAAGGGGAGACTGGTTTGCCCGCTTATCTTTGCTAAGCCAGTGTGTGTGTACACAGACAAGGTCCAGGCAGGGAACACCTGCCTTCTGGGTAGCTGTAAATGTGTGTAAATCAGGTCGTTCAAACAGTGGCCGTGTCTCCCCGAGCCCTAAACCCCAGTGCACCTCAACAAACACCCGACACACTCCGCACACCTCCACCCCCGCTCTGCTCTACCCCTCCCAACCCACCCACCAGCTACATTAAATCACCTCAAATGAAGCCTTTGTAAACACAGAGCGGGGAAACAAAAGAGGAATAGAAAAACACGCAGGCAATAAGGAACAAGTCAAAACATACACAGTGCCGACAGAAGCCGAAAATTGGTTTGGAGCATTAGGGCTTTGAGGCCCATTTTACCGTCATTTCTGCCGTAATTGACCTCTGAGAGGCGTAATGTGGAGAACAGTCTGTGGTAATTAGCTGCCAACAAACTGTCGGCTGATTGCCTGAAATGAGCATTTTAAGGCAAGCAACAAACCTACAAAGCATTTCCATTGCGCCTGTAAGTAGAGGGAGCTGGTTGTGAAATGAATGTGTGGTAGTAGAGATGGGAATTGGTCCTGTGTGGTGGGGCTGAGGGTTGGCAGTTGGATTGGCCTGCTCTGCTCTACTCAACAAAAGGTGCATTAACACAACCCTGACAGGAGGCTTCTTAACCCTTTCATTCTGCCGTGTTTGAAGGCACACTACACACAGGAAATGAGCCTCAGTCTTCACAGTGCCTTGACTTTTTCCACTTTGTTGTGTTACAGCCTGAATTTAAAATTGATTAAATTTAGACCTTTTTGTCACTGGCCTACTACACACAATACCCCATAATGCCAAAGTGGAATTATGTTTTTACAAATGAATACAAAAATTCACGCTGAAATGTCTTGAGTCAAGTCTTCAACCCCTTTGTTGAATACTTATAACAATACTTTCTGCATATTGCATTTGAAAATCCAATACAACACATTATTGAGTACCACTCTCCATATAACAGGTGCAATATGCAGAAATCGCTCAGCCATTTCCTGGTTGCTAAAATTCAAATAGTTCGCCTAATTTAAGTTTGTGACAAACAAGCAAGCAGTGTAGAGAATCATTTTACCATCTAAACTGCTCTGAAATATATTTTCAATAACCAAAAATATTGTATTTCCAGCTGTTTGAAGCTGATGTACAAAACCGAAAGTAAGATGCAAAAACGAAACTTAAGAACAGGAAGCATAGAAATGGCGCACAAACAGATCTACCGATTCTTAGACTTGCTGTCAATGAGAATGACAGATCTCCACCTCACATTTCTATGTGAATTTGGTCAGGTAGCCCAAAAAATAACATATTGCAGCTTTAACATGATTTTTGAATGACTACCTCATCTCTGTACCCCACACTGTAAGGTCCCTCAGTCGAGCAGTGAATTTCAAACACAGGTTAAACTACAAAGACCAAGGAGGTTTTCCAATGCCTCGCAAAGAAGGGCACCTATTGGTAGATGAAAGAAACCGTTCAGGGATTTCACCATGAGGCCAATGGTGACTTTAAAACAGCTACAGAGTTTAATGGCTGTGATAGGAGAAAACTGAGGATGGATCAACAACATTGTCGTTACTCCACAATACTAACCTAAATAACAGAGTGAAAAGAAGGAAGCCTGTAGAGAATAAAAATATTCCAAAACATGCATCCTGTTTGCAACAAGGCACTAAAGTAATACCGCAAACAATGTGGCAAAGCAATTCACTTTTTGTCCTGAATACAAAGTGTTATGTTTGGGGAAAATCCAATACAACACATTACCGAGTACCACTCTCCATATTTTCAAGCATAGTGGTGGCTGCATCATGTTATGGGTAGGCTTGTAATCGTTAAGGGCTGGGGAGTTTTTCAGGATAAAAAAAGAAATAAAATGGAGTTAAGCACAGGTAAAATCCTACAGGAAAACCTGGTTCAGTCTGCTTTCCAACAGACACTGGGAGATGAATGAACCTTTCAGCAGAACAATAACCTAAAACACAAGGCCATATCTACACTGGAGTTGTTTACCAAGAATACAGTGAATGTTCCTGAGTAGTCAAATTACAGTTTTGATTTAAATCTGCTTGAAAATCTAAGGCAAGACCTGAAAATGGTTGTCTAGCAATGATCAACAACCAATTTGACAGAGCTTGAAGATTTTTGAAAATAATAAAACGGGCAAATGTTGCACAATCCAGGTGTGGAAAGCTCTTAGAGACTTACCCAGAAAGACTCACAGCTGTAATTGCTGCCAAAGATGCTTCTACAAAGTATTGACTCAGGGGTGCGAATACTTATGTAAATTAGATAATTCCGAATTTAATTTTCAACAAATTACCACAAAAGAAAAACAGTGAGGGAAAAAAGTATTTGATCCCCTGCTGATTTTGTACGTTTGCCCACTGACAAAGAAATGATCAGTCTATAATTTTAATGGTAGGTTTATTTGAACCGTGAGAGACAGAATAACAACAAAAAAATCCAGAAAAACGCATGTCAAAAATGTTATAAATTGATTTGCATTTTAATGAGGGAAATAAGTATTTGACCCCCTCTCAATCAGAAAGATTTCTGGCTCACAGGTGTCTTTTATACAGGTAACGAGCTGAGATTAGGAGCACACTCTTAAAGGGAGTGCTCCTAATCTCAGTTTGTTACCTGTATAAAAGACACCTGTCCACAGAAGCAATCAATCAATCAGATTCCAAACTCTCCACCACGGCCAAGACCAAAGAGCTCTCCAAGGATGTCAGGGACAAGATTGTAGACCTACACAAGGCTGGAATGGGCTACAAGACCATCGCCAAGCAGCTTGGTGAGAAGGTGACAACAGTTGGTGCGATTATTCGCAAATGGAAGAAACACAAAATAACTGTCAATCTCCCTCGGCCTGGGGCTCCATGCAAGATCTCACCTCATGGAGTTGCAATGATCATGAGAACGGTGAGGAATCAGCCCAGAACTACACGGGAGGATCTTGTCAATGATCTCAAGGCAGCTGGGACCATAGTCGCCAAGAAAACAATTGGTAACACACTATGCCGTGAAGGACTGAAATCCTGCAGTGCCCGCAAGGTCCCCCTACTCAAGAAAGCACATATACAGGGCCGTCTGAAGTTTGCCAATGAACATCTGAATGATTCAGAGGAGAACTGGGTGAAAGTGTTGTGGTCAGATGAGACCAAAATCGAGCTCTTTGTTATCAACTCAACTCGCCGTGTTTGGAGGAGGAGGAATGCTGCCTATGACCCCAACACCACCAACCCCACCGTCAAACATGGAGGTGGAAACATTATGCTTTGGGGGTGTTTTTCTGCTAAGGGGACAGGACAACTTCACCGCATCAAAGTGACGATGGACGGGGCCATGTACCGTCAAATCTTGGGTGAGAACCTCCTTCCCTCAGCCAGGGCATTGAAAATGGGTCGTGGATGGGTATTCCAGCATGACAATGACCCAAAACACACGGCCAAGGCAACAAAGGAGTGGCTCAAGAAGAAGCACATTAAGGTCCTGGAGTGGCCTAGCCAGTCTCCAGACCTTAATCCCATAGAAAATCTGTGGAGGGAGCTGAAGGTTCGAGTTGCCAAACATCAGCCTCGAAACCTTAATGACTTGGAGAAGATCTGCAAAGAGGAGTGGAACAAAATCCCTCCTGAGATGTGTGCAAACCTGGTGGCCAACTACAAGAAACGTCTGACCACTGTGATTGCCAACAAGGGTCTTGCCACCAAGTACTAAGTCATGTTTTGTAGAGGGGTCAAATACTTATTTCCCTCATTAAAATGCAAATCAATTTATAACATTTTTGACATGCGTTTTTATGGATTTTTTTGTTGTTATTCTGTCTCTCACTGTTCAAATAAACCTACCATTAAAATTATAGACCGATCATGTCTTTGTCAGTGGGCAAACGTACAAAATCATCAGGGGATCAAAATACTTTTTTCCCTCACTGTATGAGGTATTGTGTGTAGATGGTTTCAATTATTTATTTATTTTTTATAAATTTTCAATTCAGGCTGTAAGAACAAAATGTGGAATAAGGCACTGTATTAGAGTTTTATTTTTTATAAATGTTTTACAAATGTTAGAATTTTTCTTCCACTTTGACATAGTATTTTGTGTAGATCGATGACAAAAAATGACATTTAAATCAATTTTAATCCCACTTTGTAAAATAACAAAATGTGGAAAAAGTCAAGGGGTGTGAATACAATTTACTGGTCATTATTGCATAAGACTGAAATCATGGCATTACTATAAGTTCTTATCACAGAAAGTGTGTGAAAAATAGGATTTTCCCAGTCCAGGCTAATAGATAGACCCCTCCTGTTAATGTGTCAAGGTGTAGAGGTCCTTTTGAAAATCAATACTAAGCCGCTGGGATTTGAACCGCAACAGAACTCAACCGTCACATTTTCCCTCCCTCTCCACAGGCATCCGTTACACAGATTAAATAATCCCAGTTTTCTCTTCACTGATAAATTGAGGTGAATAAAGAAGCCCATGGCTGTGCATAGGGAGAGCAGGTGTGAGAGAGATGTTTACTGACTGGCTCACACCCAGCACACCAACACACAGCCCTAGAAGGCCCATTTTGATGCACAAGCAACAACCCTTCACAGTAGGCTGATGTGCACACTTATAAAATAGATTACTACCATTGGCCCAAGGCCATACCAACTGTCTCGTGTCTCGATGTACACTCCTTCATACCCCCTCCCTTTCAGTGAAACACGCTGCCACGTTATATTTGCAAACATGTGCAGTGCTTAAAAATCATACAATATGAGTTTTTAAAAAGTACTAGACAGCCTATTAGAAACACAAAGAAATGGGGAGAAATAAATACGGAGCATGCGAGTGGGACAGAGTAGACTAAAGAGAGAAGAACATTAGATTTGGAAGGGATACTGTAGGGAGGGTGGATAGAGGGGATAGAGCAGGGCTGCCAAACGTACAACACATACAGGAAGTGTCCAATCTGGCTCGCGGGTGGTTTGAGTATTTTTGTAAGTACTCAATATACTTTAAAATGACTAAAACCAAATCAAAACTGTGTAGAAATGATAATGGACCTACATTTATACCCTGTCTTGACTGTGTCCAGCTGGCTAATAATTATAAACAGTCAGGGACGACAGGGAGTATTGAAAACTCCAAAAGCGATGGATAGAGGACTATCTTCAGCAAATTTTGACAGCAAGGAAATAACCTAAATTAGTGTAACACCCCTGGGATAGAGGGAGGGGGAGTGGGATGGAGTAAGAGGCACTTTCTTATGTAAAGCAGGCGTGCGGCTGGGCTGTCCCTCCATTGTGTGGCGTGAGGACTCTTTCTCCGGCCAATTTGAGCACGCTCCAGCGCCCAGCCAGCTCAGCACTGGCGGCCTGGCCCCATCTTATATTTAGGCACAACAAAAGCTGGAGAATACCACGCTGTCCCTCTGCGCCGGCCCCTTCATTTCCCCACAGCGCATTCTCCGGGACCCCCCTCTCCTCCCCAGTCTCCCCCTCCCGTCCTCTTTAGCCCCAGCCAACGTGTCACTCTAACGGAGCACGACAGACATCAATCCTTAATTAATCACGTATACACGGCAGGGGCTCAAACATTATTTAACGACATGGAAAACATTCTAATAAGCTTGTCGCTCTGCCAAAGCGCAATATAAACCTGTGGGCAGAGCATACACACACACAAAACAAACTAATTTATTCACAGTGTTCCCCCCTTTCCTCATCAATCTCTTTCTCTCTCTCCCTCTCTGTCTTTGTTTTGGGGGGGGGGACTGGAGCTCCGTCAAATGTGCTGAGCAGCCAGCCAGCCAGCTAGGCAGGGTGTGGCTAGCTAGAGGAGAACCATGCTGAATTGAGAGGAGACAACATGCCAAAACAGTGTACCATCACCACCGGTTGGCTGTCCTCCCGAGGAGACAGAGAGACAGGTCTGGAGAGATCCAGCTGAGAGCTGAGTAGAGGCCTAGAGAACACTTAATTACACCGATGTGAACCCAGGTGAACCTTACCTACGCGCAATATAATACTTCACCAGCTTCATCAACTATCTTCACATTTACCTCAGTCAGTCCAGATTAAGTTAGAAGGGTAAAGGTTAAGCATAAGCAATGTCATCATCAGCAGGACATATGTCAACACATGACAAGACATGACAATAAGCATGTGCTATGTACCCGCAACCATGCATCTCATCATCCTACTCCTCTATCGAGAGGACAATGCAACAAAGCTAAGATTCCTTTGATTATAGCCCCATCTAGTGGTTATGAGTGGAAGTACAGCCACAATTCAACAGATCCAAACTGTAGTTTATTGGCAGGTGGCTACAAGAGCAGTCCCATTCTCTTGTGTTTGACAGTGGCTCCCTCTTCTGGCCTTAGTTACTGGAATCTACATCAAGTCGTTTCCACAGATACAGGGTACATAGAATAGCACATGAAAACAGGAGAATGACAGCACAGTTTAGGTGCCTCCGAGTTTTAGAGGCAATGTTTCGACCACTGTGGATCTTCGTCAGGCTTCCTCTTGGCATTACCTGTCTCACATGAACCACTCCTACTAAATCTTTAAAACCTGCTTAGAATAACACAAAAATGACCTGGTCCTCGCTGGTGAAGCCCTTGTGCATGACTTGGTAGAGATGGACCAGGAAGTCACTGTTGGGCAGCACGTCCTGGTTCCTGGTCATCATCTCACAGATGAGTTTATAAGCCTGCAGCTTACCCGCCTTGAACTCTGCTGGCAGCATGGTGGCCTGGGGGAAAAGTAAGAGGAGGACAGAGGGAGAGAAAGGGAGTGAAGGAGAGAGGTAGAAGGGAGAGAGACCGGGTCACACAGTTATAGTCACACGCATGGCTTTGATGTGGGTAGAGTCAGTGGACCTCTGAATCACCTTGAAGAGCCAGGAGGCCAGCATTCTGAGAGGAGGGATGAAGACAGGTCGGGGAGGAGACGACTGGTTATCCACACTGATGCCCAGGTTATCCCGGATCTGCAATTAGTGCATTACTGCATTATCCAGACTGAAAATCTACAGAACAAAATATTGACTGAGACAAACTTACTGTACATGACATGTCATCAGAGCTTATAAGAGTGTTTGGAGGCTGGGCAGTGCTTACCTTAGCAAGTTTGTGCCACAAGTCGTAGAGGTAACTGAACACCTTGGCGTGGATCCTGGGGCAGCGGATGCTGTTGACGTCCCCCAGGATACCCAGAATCCTCCTCCAGAGCACAAACGCGGAGTCAGCGTGCCAGCCTGTCAGGCTCCCGCCTGCGATGATGCTGACATCATCAGTCAGACACTCACTGCTGTCTGCAAGACCAGATAAAGCAGAGAGAGAGAGAGAGAGAGACAGACAGAGACAGCGAGAGAGAGAGAGAGAGAGAGAGAGACAGAGAGACAGAGAGACAGAGAGACAGAGAGACAGAGAGACAGAGAGACAGAGAGACAGAGAGAGAGAGAGAGAGACAGAGAGAGAGAGAGACAGAGAGAGAGAGAGAGAGAGACAGAGACAGAGAGAGAGAGAACACTGATTTACTACTGTATAAAACTCTATAGTATAACACTAGAACTCTAGGCCTGTCCACACCCCGGACACTGAGGTGATTCAACACAGATTAATTTTGCCCAGTCACCAGAGTCACACACAGCTGAACACATATGTGATGGGGGTGTGGGTGGGTTGGGTATAAGATTAACACAGAGGGTGGTGGGCAAGGCAGGCTAAAAAGGGGGTGTTTAGGGGCAGTAGCAGTACCCAGGTCCTGAGGCATGTGTAACACAGACTGATGCATGCTGTCCTCCAGGAGATGGGGGCAGTCCCGGCACTCAGTGTGCACGAGCAAAGCTGGCGAGGCAGGGGGGTGCTGCTGGTGGTGGGACAGGGGTGCGGAGTGGGGAGAGAGGACACACTCAGGACCTAAAACAAGACAAGGGGACAACCAGAAGACAGTGGAGCTTGACAGAGCACAGGGACAAGATGACAGAGGACAGTGAATTCACAATGAATAAATGTAAGAGTACAGACAGCACAGACGAGGTGGGGATGGTGTCGGGTCAGGGGTTACACTAAGGGTCAGGGGTTACGCTAAGGGTCAGGGGTTACAGCTGAGGTATTCTTTCATTTGACAAGAATTGACAGCTATTAGCCATAGCTGTTTTTCCCAAATATTCACCTACGCTAAAGGGGAGCATCGGCCCGCTGAACCACAATAATATTTTGAGATACTATCCGTAGACGTACCTAACATTTCTAAATAGCAAGGAGACTCTCACCTAACGTTGCCCAGTAAACATGTAACAGTGGTAACCATTCCATCTTTATGTTCCCTCCCTCAATAGCCATGAGGTGTTAACCTAATACCAAACACAGCTAAATAAACAAAAGGGCCCAGCTGCCCGCTGAATAAAGACCCCTGAGCAGGTGGTAAAACCGGAACACGTCCAAGGCTAGATAGAGGTGGAGAGAGGGAGCGTTCTCTTTACAGAGCTTCAGAGGCCAAGGTGAGGGACAGCAGGCAGAGGAAGAAGATACTGTAGAGCAGTACTGGCTATGAAGGCTATGCTAATCCTCTGAAAGGTCAGGCTGCTCTGAGATAAATCCCATCACGACCCACGGACAAACACACTTCAGGTGAACCTGACAAATCCCACAGAATACACATTTAGTGAACCTGAAGGCCATATGCTACAATATTTACCCCATTTAAACCAATCCCCTCCAAGCCTCGTTCACCAGCATCAACCCCCCCAGAAACCTTACGCAGACCCCCCCCCCCCCCCCCCCCCTCAAACCAACCAGTCCAGTCCAGTCCAGTACCTGCAAGGGCCTCATTGCGGCTGAGCAGAAGGTTCCTCTGGCTCCCGGTGTCTGCTGTGACGTCTATCTGGGCTGACTGGGTGTCTGCCTCCTCCTCAAAAGCCTGCCAGGCCAGCAGGCTGCCGTCAGCGTCGTTCAAGTAGCCGTTGGACGTCTCGCTGCTCACACTCACACTTTTCTCCTGGAGCTTGGGCCTTGCGTAGGTGTTGTGTCCCTCTACAGAGTAGTCCAGCTCAGCAGGACTGCTGCTACGCCTGATCAGAATCTGGGAGCACAGAGGGAGAAGTCATCAGTGGGTGTTTCAGAGATGCCTCTTTCAGACTGCAACAGATGCCCTGCTGAAATAACCAAACAAAGTAAGAAGGTCGTAGATTTTGCATCGGGTGTGTGATTCTCACCACTGGTGGGTCGCTGTCTGTCCTCGCTTCCGATGCCCTGCCATCGGAGCCACAGGAGTTGTTGGGGGAGTACTCTCTCTTGTGGCCTGGAGGTCACAGTGACTGTTAATCACACTGGATGCACACACACAGCAGAAAGCAGACAGCCAGTCTGCTCATAAATACTGTTCTAGTCGCATCCCTACACCTCTAGATGCATGATCAGAATTAGGAGTTGTAGACCAGTGGTTCCCAACCTTTTTCAATTACTGTACCACCAACTGAATTTTGCTCAGCCCGGAGTACCCCAGAAATACCCCCTCATTTGCATTTTACCAGTAGGCCCATGGTCTCATGAGTCTTCTCAAATATCCAACGTGGATAGGCCAAGTACTCCCAGATAACTAGTACCCCTGGTTGGGAACCACTGCTGTAGCCTGCAGGCTTTAAAGCACATCAATCACTGTATGGATGGACACATTGTTAGCAGCAGTATAGATACCTCCACTAGAGGGCAGCAAAAATGGCCTGTTAGAACATGCCCTCATACTGTGTGTTCGCTCACTCATTGGTGTATCCCTACCTGGGAAGGTGTCAGCCAGTTGCTGTGTGATGTCAGAGGTGCTGCTGCTGCGTGGTAGAGGGCTGTCTCCAGTCTCCAGCTCCCCATCTCCCCCACACTCTGACAGCTGGCCCTCCTCCACGTCTGAGCACCACCACCAGGGAGGAGAAGACAGAGAGTTAGAGCAATGCATCAGGCAAGACTCATCTCATATACAGCACACTACACATGATCATGCTCTACCACACAGCATTCTGGCAACTTAAAGGTGCTACACATAGGATTTTCTTGAATTTTTGCATTGCAATTTCAGAAAATGTCTATAGTATATCTGCCGCTAATAGTGGCATGATAGTGTTTCACAGTATTTCTTACCCGCCAGTGTTGTGATTGGCTGTGATATTCGGCTATTGATTTCTCCCAACAGGGCGGCATCTGTGTTATCTAGTGGCTATGTTATCTAGTGGAGATCGCTCTGTCATTTCCTGGTTGCTAAAATTCTACACTGTTCACTCAATTTCAGTTACTGTGAGAAAACAAGCCCTGAATAGTGTAGGGAATCATTGCACCATCGAAATCGCTGTGAAATATTGTTTTTACAGCCGTTACTTTTGGTTTTGGTCCACCAGCTTCAAAATGCAGAAATAATTATATTTTTTGTTATTTAAAATATATTTCACAGCCGTTTAGATGGTACAATGATTCCCTACACTATTCAGTGCTTGTTTTCTCACAGTAACTAAAATTGAGCGAACAGTAGAATTTTAGCAACCAGGAAATTAGCTATTTCCGCTACACTAGATACAAAAGTATGTGGACACCCCTTCAAATTAGTGGATTCGGCTATTTTAGCCACACCCGTTGCTGACATGTGTATAATAACGAGCACACAGCCTGAAATCTCTATAGACAAACATTGGCAGTAGAATGGCCTTACTGAAGAGCTCCGTGACATTCAACGTGGCACCGTCATAGGATGCCACCTTTCCAACAAGTCAGTTAGTCAAATTTATGCCCTGCTAGAGCTGCCCCAGTCACCTGTAAGTACTGTTATTGTGAAGTGGAAACGTCTAGGAGCAACAACGGCTCAGCTGCGAAGTGGTAGGCCACACAAGCTCACGGAACGGGACAGCCGAGTGCTGAAGCGCGTAAAAATCGTCTGACCTCCAACTCACTACCGAGTACCAAACTGTCTATGGAAGCAACGTCAGCACAAGAACTGTTCGTCGGGAGCTTCATGAAATGGGTTCCATGGCAGAGCAGCCGCACACAAGTCTAAGATCACCATGCGCAATGCCAAGCGTCAGCTGGAGTGGTGTAAACCTTGCCGCCATTGGACTCTGGAGCAGTGGAAATGCATTCTCTGGAGTGATGAATCACGCTTCACCATCTGTCAGGGTGGCGGATGCCAGGAGAACGTTACATGCCCCAATGCATAGTGCAAACTGAAGTTTGGTGGAGGAGGAATAATGGTCTGGGGCTGTTTTCATGGTTCGGGCTAGGCCCCTTACTTCCAGTGAAGGGAAATCTTAACGCTACAGCATACAATGACATTCTAAACAATTCTGTGCTCCCAACTTTGTGGCAACAGTTTGGGGAAGGCCCTTTCCTGTTTCAGCATGACAATGCCCCCATGCACAAAGCAAGGTTCATACAGAAATGGTTTGTCGAGATCGGTGTGGAAGAACTTGACTGGCCTGCACAGAGCCCTGACCTCAACCCCATCGAACACCTTTGGGATGAATTGGAACGCTGACTGCGAGCCAGGCCTAATCGCCCAACATCATTGCTGACCTCATTAATGCTTGTTGGTGAATAGAAGCAAGTCCCTGCAGCAATGTTCCAATATCTAGTGCTAAGCCTTCCCAGAAGAATGGAGGCTGCTATAGCAGCAAAAGGGAGACCAACTCCATATTAATGTCCATGATTTTGTAATGAGATGTTCAGCAGGTGTCCACATACTTTTGGTCACAGCCACAAAGTCAGAACAGCCTTCCCAGATTGACAACAGATGACGCTCTGGCGGGAGAAACCAATAGGTAAATATCTTAGCCAATCACAACACTGGTGGGTAAGTAATGCTGAGAAACACTATCATTCCACTATTAGTGCCAGATATATTATGGGCATTTTCTGAAATTACAAAGCAAAAATTCTAGAAAGTCCTATGTGTAGCACCTTTAAAATGACAAAATGGTTACATTGTTTTAGCCACATACTGAGATGGGATAGGAACATAGTTATAAACATTAGAACACACATTAGAACTCATTAGTATAGAATTTTCTTCAGACAATCGTCCTTTTTTACTTTCAATCCACTTCAAACCAAAACGACAGTAAGTAGCTGTGAGAAACAACAAGGGTTTCCACTTCAGTGAGTGTTAATAAAACAGTGAGAGACTGACAGGAGAATAGGAGACGGGAGAGAGAGTAGTGACAGACAGACAGACGGAAGAGACAGACAGGGTGAAGGTGGGAGGACACCACACAGACAGCTCTCAGAACACTTTACCTGAAAGCCTGTGAGAGCAAGAGTTACCGGAAGGGGAGGAGATACCAGGCAAGAAAGAGCTCACAGTGTGAAGCAGCATAGGAACGCTTTTAGTAGCGGGCAAAGCCTCGTAAAGATGGACACAGTTGGTGATAGACTGGCTTCGCTTAGCTTCCATCACAGAGAGAGAGAGCGATGACAGGACGGAAAAGAAGAGGAAGAGAGAAGTCAATAAGAGCATTTAGTGCAGAATATCAGAAGGACACCACTGGCAAATCCATTTAACCCTTTGCATGAAATTGTAAAAAATAGTGAAGAAAAATACTACTAAAGAAGACAAAATCCACTAAGGGTTGAATCCTAATTTGAGATCTGCGGTTGTAACTTGAATTGTCATTCATCTCAATTTGCTTGAACGTTTCTTTTGTGCGCCCCCAACTTCAGCCATAAGGCATTAAGAGTGAAACAACAGGCATAGTGAAGTTACTGAGACAGGAAATTAAGAACTAATATAACTAATTGACTTCAGTGTACAGAGAATATAAATAGAATATATTAAAGCCTAAACCCCAGGCTGGTTCTCATGTTAATTTGACACTTGAGGGCTCTTCATCTAAACAAAGACACTGCTCTACCAGATTTGTTGTTACATATTATTAAAAAATAAAAAAAACATTAAAAAAAACAACATCAAAAACAAATCCGTCTACATTTGAGAGACGTAATTTATGCAATGAGTTGCCTTTATTTGAAGATCAGATTAATTAGTTCTCTATGCACATGACAGAAGAGGACAAATACAACTGGCTTTGAGTGCATCACAGTAAAGTCAACTTATTTCCATCCACACACAACTTTGTAATGTTATCTCCTAAAATACACTACCAAAAAGAAAAGCAAAGGCAACTGGATAGGGCTGGGACACTAGAGCTTTAGTGACAATTAATGTGTATCACACATATTACATTATAGTACATTATTTCCATAATAAGAATAGGTACTGGTTTTAAATTAGTAGATGTAGGATATTAATTTGATCACCCTGTTACAGGAGAACCTTCCTGCAATTCAGGACATTTTAAATGTGTAGTGCAATTGAGGTTTAAAAAGGTTTCTGAAGTTTGTAATTTCCACTTTGAAATTTCAGACTTGATTTTTCCTTACGAAAAATTGATCAACCCCTACAAAAATGTAAATTTATTATAATCCACATAATAATTCACATTTAATGTTGCTGCAGGATAATTTTCCTGCTGTAGCAAACTACCTCAAATTAAGATCCTACATCTGTAGTTCGTCAATAGTGCAATAAGGGCAATATAGTTCCCAGTCATTTCAACACCCTGTCGTAGGAAATGCTCATCAGAAAAAACATTGGCAAGTACGTATTGGCATAAATGAGATTACACACATTTTCAGTTTAAAGATGAGGCATTGGGGTAGTGTGTATGGACAGCACTTCAGGCCTAATCTAAAGGAGAGAGGAGCATTGCAAGAGAAGGAGGATTCTATTCTCTGCCTACACCAACCTTTAATTACTCTCTTTCATTTGGAGATAGCATCGTCTCCGCTACAGACCGCTACTGTTACCCGTTTTATGCATATTAATGAGCATTAATTACACTCTTAATGAAACTATCAAAAACGTCCACGGATTGATGTGTGGGCCCTCTCTCAAGGAGAAGGGGGGTGGAGGAGGAGGAGGGATATCGGGATGTTTGAAGATCAATGTGGGAGAAATCTAATTAGACGAGAGAAAAGGGAGAATTTGAGGCGGTGGTGTTTCATGTTAAGTCTCTGTCTGCATGCAGATATACGCGCGCACTCACACACACACACACACACACACACACACACACAGGAAGCTTTTATGAGTCCTCCTTCAGGCCCAACTACATCTGCTCGAGGCTCAACAAGCTCTTCAGCGAGCAGAGATGCTATCAGTCATTACGGAGAGAGAGAGAGAGAGAGAGAGAGAGAGAGAGAGAGGAGGATGGTGAGGAAACAAGCGAGGCGGGTCACTCTTTTATCCTCCTTCGTTAGGGATTAGCTAGTTTAGAGAAAGCACAACATCTCCGCTCTAGATAACCTGAGAGCTAAACTGATCATTAGACAGAGACATCTCCATCAGATAAGTGGATGTTGTTCACTGTATCTGAACAATGAAGAAACAACGTCAGTCTCCGACATGTCACCAGGGGAGTTTGTATGTGCCGGAGAACTGACACAGAAACATGTTGACATTGGCCAATGACATCTGACAGGAACAATGGAGACCATCTGCTGTTTCTTTGTGCTTAGTGTTGAGCCTTTCACCAGCACCTGGGCTAACATACACATGCCCTGCTTTTATTTACACTCACTGTGGAGTCTATGGAGAGTCTTGTCTACACTGTAGTGTCATAGAGGGACTCGGAGATTAAACAGATCTGTATTTGGGCCAACATTTGGCCCTAGCCAAATTTGACTTAATTACAGTAGCTTGTGTGTGTGTTCACCTGTGGCTTTCTGTCGGACGTTGTTGCGGGCCTTCTCCACTCCGGGGGCCCCTGAGGTGGTAGCGCTGCGGAACCTCATGGGCTCCTGCTGGTCTCCCTGGTTCCTCCAGCTCAGAGAGAAGGACCTGGCCACCGCTGCTGCCTTCTGGGAGTCCTGGATCACCCCTGAGACACAGACAAGAGAGACAGAGACACGCAAATAGTATAAATACAGAATCTAAAGGAGAAACGGAATCTTCTACCATTGTTGCTCTATTCTCTGAGGCTTCCACAGTCATCCCCCTCTATCACTGCATCAATCCCTCCATCCAGGGCTCTCACTTTAAAAAATGTGTTGTTAGCTCTGGTACCACATAAAATGTAGGAGCACCAGACAATCAATTGAGATACAGCCTTTATTGGGCCTTTATGAATTCTAGCTACTTTTGAAGCACATGTTGTGCCCTAGAAACTAATAAGCCTGTAAAGACATTTGTTTATTATAAAAGCTAAAATGTTGATACAAATACCTGTCATTGAAATTACAAAGGAATTTGTGGTTTCCTAAGCTATCCCTTTTCCATTCTTTCTGTGTCGCCAAATGTTTGGATATACTGGTAAAGTTACCAGGTTGTTAGCTAGCTAGATAATGAGGCAAAATGACTGAACAATATGTTTTAGAGTAGTTTTAGAACTTCCCACGACATGGTTTATGAATGTACAAAATACGGCCCGCCAATGGAGATGCATTCAGCTGCGGCGCCAACACGCAATAGAAGGGGGAAAAACCTAGCGCCCATAATATGGGTCACAACTTTTGAATGGTTTGGGTTAGAGACAAGTGGCTCTCTCTGTAGTAATGGTGCAACCACCACGGTCACAAATCAGCGTTTTTTCTCTACGGAACTCCTAAACAGCGATACAGCTATGCCTAATCACTACAATCATTATTATACGGCTGATTTTCTTTCTAGGCACACTGGTGCTCCCAAATTAAAACATTTAGGCGCAATATGCAACCAAAAGGGTTGCACTTTAGAGCCCTGCCTCCATCCCTCTCGCTCCCCCTGCCTCCATCCCTCTCGCTCCCCCTGCCTCCATCCCTCTCGCACCCCTGCCTCCATCCCTCTCGCTCCCCCATCCCTCTCGCTCCCCCTGCCTCCATCCCTCTCGCTCCCCCTGCCTCCATCCCTCTCGCTCCCCCTCGCTCCCCCTGCCTCCATCCCTCTCGCTCCCCCTGCCTCCATCCCTCTCGCTCCCCCTGCCTCCTCACCCCGTCCCCTCTGTTTCTTCTCCTTCTGTTCGCTGAGTTTGTCCAGGGGCAGGTTGCTCATGTCCAGGCCGTAGACAGAGCGGGCCAGGACTGCGGTCAGAGAATCCATGATGCTGGCCCACTCTGTTACCAGCTCCTCCCAGCCTGTCAGAGACGACAGCACAGACAGAAGCTCGTCCCACAGCTCCCGGGAGATGAACACACACAGGTTGGCCCGTACCCACGCCACAATGATCGTCTGGGGGAGGATGTACAGGGGCACAGAGGCACAAAGACAGGAGGACAAAACAGAACATCTCATTAATCACCATAGGCAGGCAGCTGGTTCTCATTGGCTTGTGATCAAAACACTAACAAGCCATTATAGCTGTAACAGTAACGTTTCCACATTATATTAACATCATGGGCAACAACCATTTCCAGTAGCTTAGTAGGACTTCCTCTAACAGAGGTATCAGAACAACTGTGTAACAGTAAGAGAGGATACACGATCCCCAGGCTGACTGACCCTGAAGAGGATGGCAGCTAGGCTCTCAGCAAAGATGTCTTTTCTTTGGTTCTCCTGAGGCCTCTTCATCACCGCCTCAGTGATCCTCAGCAGCACCTGTAGCATCTGCTCCCTACACACACCCCAGAGGATATAATTAGTCCATCATTGTGTATCAGTAGATAACTATACAACACAGCAGAACTGTCCAGGTCTGTCTGATATTACAGTCCTTCAGGTAAAAGCAACTGCTTGGTTTAGATTTTTTTCTTCCTATTTAAACCAGTGGGTGTACACCATACACAGTATATAGGTTGTTATCAATAAAGTGTCACAATAAGGTGCAGAGCGTTGGATTGGCCTTCTAGGGGGCAACGAGACCATTGACAACTGCGTGCCATTATCAAGGGATTGTTAAAGAAAAGTGAATTATTTGGTTTTAATATCATCACCTCTTGAAGAGCATAGTCAGAACTACAAAATGTCCGATTAGTCTATGCAAAACAATTGCGCACATTTAGCTCTATCATCAGAGTTATACAGCAAGAAACTGCATGCTTTTCATGATCAGTAAACCTCAATTGGTCATGTAATTTCAGATATGTGAGAGTAGCCTCACGACATCTCTAAATATTGGCCACCATTAATTGGATATCTGAGTGACATAAATTAAAAGTGAACTATACCTGACAAGTATGAGTGGTTTAGGTTAATTTCCCATCCTTTGTGGGATCTGCCTGTCAAGCTGCAGAAGGGCGCATTTTGCCGATGTAACGTTACTTTTTGCTGATACTGTTTACTTTGCAAGCTACGGGTAGAAACTTTGTACAGTTGACTAAACATTGTGGTAATTATACAACGGGTGGGTCTAATCCTGAATGCTGATTGGTTAAAACTGCATTCCAGCTGGTGTCTATTTCACAAGTCACCACCCGCTACATCTATGACGTTGAAATGCCTATTTACTCTGTTCCTTCTAACTGCGCAATCCACTGTCTCATCAACCCTGCCAGGAAATGTATAAACTTTATCTCCACTATAAAAAGCATCTAGACATTATCTCCCATTTATTTTGGACTAGCATTTGGTTTTCAACAGCAGATAATTGATAAACCTTGCTGTCTGTCTCTCCGACCTTTCCAACATTGAATTGCGATCTCCACCGTCCCATATAAAGTGAATGTGTCCGTATAAAGTGAATGTGTCCGAACAAGACAGACAGCAAATTGAGCTGGTTGTCATAGCAACATACAAAACTTATTTTCAGTTGATTGGCTAAATTGATACTTTGTTGCGAAAACTAAAATAGATGAGTGGAACATTTATTTTGATATTTTCGGCGGCATGACTATGAATGAGTGGGAAAAGGAGATGGCAATAATACCCAGGCATGCAGATTTGGGGGATACTGCATTGAATGACCTAGAGAAAAGCCGCAACGAAAAAACCACAGTTAAGAATACAAACTGGGCTGTGCGGTGCTTCGACGGCTGGCTAGCAGAGAATAAAAAAGTTGTTGACTTCAAAGATGTCACTAAGGAATAGTTTAACATCCTTCTCCGACAGTTTTATGGAAATGTACGAAATGGGAAGGGGGACCAGTACAGTATAAGTAGCATCTGGCACTCCGGAGTGGGCTCAACCGGTTTCTAAATGACGCACCCATCGGTCGCAGCTGGTCCCTTATGAAGGATACTGAATTTACCACCTTGAATCATGTATTTCTGGGCAACAAACAACTAAGTGGCAAGGAAAATATATCACAAACAGCCACCCTCCCATCACCGATAAGGACATGGCCCAGCTCCAAAACTCCCAGGCTCTGAATCCCGGTACACCAAGGGGTCTGGTCCAGAAAGTGCGGTTCGACCTCCAGATACATCTGGGTCGAAGAGGAAAAGAGGGGAACAGACAACTAAAGCCCAACTCATTCCTCGTAAAAACAGACGAGAACGGTCTAAAGTATGTTGTTCATAGCCTGTTTGTGTTATTTCTAAGTTGCACTCGTAATTAGGCTACTGGAAAACAATATTATAACAACGCATTCTCTCTCTCAGATACGCCACTCTCACATAGAACGAGGCCACAAGGAATCATCTGGACCCAAGGGAGAGGGGCAGGGAGTCCAAGAGGGGATTCATGTTCGCGCAGCCAGGGAACCCACTATGCCCGATGGCACCACTGGAGAAATATCTATCGAAATGCCCGGAGAACGCCCTTGCATTTTATCTCCACCCAAGGAGAGGAGAGTGTATCGGGGACTCGATCTGATAGACGTCAGAGCCGATGGGCGTGAACTATCTGGCAGCGCTTCTACCTAAGATCTGCAGGGCAGCGGGAACAACTACAGTTGAAGTCGAAAGTTTACATACACTTAGGTTGGCGTCATTAAAACTCGTTTTTCAACCACTCCACAAATGTCTTGTTAACAAACTATATTTTTGGCAAGTCGGTTAGGACATCTACTTTGTGCATGACACAAGTAATTTTTCCAACAATTGTTTACACACAGATTATTTCACTTATAATTCACTGTATCACAATTCCAGTGGGTCAGAAGTTTACATACACTAGGTTGACTGTCCCTTTAAACAGCTTGGAAAATTCCAGAAAATGATGTCATGGCTTTAGAAGCTTCTGATAGGCTAATTGACATCATTTGAGTCAATTGGAGGTGTACCTGTGGATGTATTTCAAGGCCTACCTTCAAACTCAGTGCCTCTTTACTTGACATCATGGGAAAATCAAAAGAAATCAGCCAAGACCTCAGAAAAAAATGTGTAGACCTCCACAAGTCCCGTGTAGCTCAGTTGGTAGAGCATGGCGCTTGCAACGCCAGGGTTGTGGGTTCGATTCCCACGGGGGGCCAGTATGAAAAAATGTATGCACTCACTAACTGTAAGTCGCTCTGGATAAGAGTGTCTGCTAAATGAGTAAAATGTAAATGTAAGTCTGGTTCATCCTTGGGAGCAATTTCCAAAACGCCTGAAGGTACCACGTTCATCTGTACAAACAATAGCACGCAAGTATAAACACCACGGGACCATGCCGCTGTCATACCGCACAGGAAGGAGACGCGTTCTGTCTCCTAGAGATGAACGTACTTTGGTGCGAAAAGTGCAAATCAATCCCAGAACAACAGCAAAGGACCTTGTGAAGATGCTGGAGGAAACAGGTACAAAAGTATCTATATCCACAGTAAAACGAGTCCTGTATCGACATAACCTGAAAGGCCGCTCAGCAAGGAAGAAACCACTACTCCAAAACCGCCATAAAAAAGACAGACTACGGATTGCAACTGCACATAGGGACAAAGATCGTACTTTTTGGAGAAATGTCCTCTGATGAAAGGTCTGATGAAACAAAAATAGAATTGTTTGGCCATAATGACCATTGTTATGTTTGGAGGAAAAAGGGGCTGGCTTGCAAGCCGAAGAACACCATCCCTACCGTGAAGCACAGGGGTGGCAGCATCATGCTGTGGGAGTGCTTTGCTGCAGGAGGGACTGGTGCACGTCACAAAATAGATGGCATCATGAGCAAGGACAATTATGTGGATATATTGAAGCAACATCTCAAGACATCAGTCAGGAAGTTAAAGCTTGGTCGCAAATGGGTCTTCCAAATGGACAATGACCCCAAGCATACTTCCAAAGTTGTGGCAAAATGGCTTAAGGACAACAAAGTCAAGGTATTGGAGTGGCCATCACAAAGCCCTGACCTCAATCCTATAGAACATTTGTGGGCAGAACTGAAAAAGCGTGTGCGAGCAAGTAGGCCTACAAACCTGACTCCGTTACACCAGCTCTGTCAGAAGGAATGGGCTAAAATTCACCCAACTTATTGTGGGAAGCTTGTGGAAGGCTACCCGAAACGTTTGACCCAAGTTAAACAATTTAAAGGCAACGTTACCAAATACTAATTGAGTGTATGTAAACTTCTGACCCACTGGGAATGTGATGAAAGAAATAAAAGCTGAAATAAATCATTCTCTCTACTATTATTCTGACATTTCACATTCTTAAAATAAAGTGGTGATCCTAACTGACCTAAGACAGGGAATTTTTACTAGGATTAAATGTCAGGAATTGTGAAAAACTGAGTTTAAATGTATTTTGGCTAAGGTGTATGTAAACTTCAGACTTCAACTGTACATACACAAATCACAGCATCAGGACCACGACAGTCCAGAAACTGGCCAATGCTGGTTTAGAAGCGAGGGAGATTATGCATGTCAGTGAGTGGGCATCGGTGCGAAGGTTCGCTCCATAGCTACTGGCGTCCCTCACTGACAGACAGAAAACGCTGGAGCAACATCCTGGCCGAAAACAAAGAGAACACTGCAGCACCAATCAACACCCAAAAGGCTGAAGCTAGGCAGCAGAAGTGGTAGCACAGACTCCGACAGATATTTCAACCAATGCACCATCCAGGAGAATGTACAGACAAATGTGACATACAATAAGTAGCTATAGCTATGTCTGCTGTGGTGGATAAAATCAGCTCAAATGAATGTCATGGATTGCCTTTCTTTTGTCTGAACAGTGTCCTGACAGAGAGCACATTTTCTCTGCCAGGCAAAGTCGCGCATCATAAGCTGATTGTTATGGATGTATCCAAATAAATGTCACTAGAAAACAGCTTAAACAAATGCAAATGCAGCTTCTTTGCTGGCTGTTATTCTGGCTGAACTTTTTGACGTAACTGTAAATTAGCAGTAGTTGGCTAGCTAGCAAGCAAGGGATAAGAACGTTGCCAGCCAGTATGGCAATGGAACATTTAGAATGAACAACTGGGTCGCATACATAGATACAGAACAAAAATAACAAACAACTGGGTCGCGTCTCTAGGAACCCTAGATTTGAGTCGGGACATATCTTGTGGAAGGATGAAATAGTACGAATAAATTAATCAAAATAATGTTTTTAATGAAAATATGATTTTAAAAATCACCGGCTTCTCGGGCATTATCACTTAAGTAGACCTAATGTACTTTTTTCTCCAACCAACATAGGCCTACCTAGCAAAGTTAGCTAACATTATCCCTTTTTCAACATTGTTTTTAAATAGTGTTTAGTCATGATTGCTGCTGACAAACATGATAGGCTACATTGATTGATGGACCACGTCAAATTGGCTAGCTAGCTAATAACAGATCACGTCAATCAAGCTAACTTTCAGGGGATAAACTAGATTACTATATCTAAATATTGTTTGATTGGCTAGCCAGCTATAGCGGTGATGACAGTAGTCCGACTGACAACTTTACCAGGATGATGTCAAGCTCTTTCTGATGAAGCAAGCTAAATGACACTTTGTTTGCTTTAGCTAGCGCGCTACAAATATCTAAAAATACATGATCAATTTATGTTTACTGATTGCTGTATAACTGATGATAGAGCTAAATGTGGAATAATCAGAAATGTGTAGTTCTGACTATGCTATTCAAGAGATGATGATATTAAAACCAAATATGGTTTTAGCGGAGCTGGGGTCTCCTTGCCCTCCAGCAGCCAAATCGAACACTATTGTGACGTTTTTATTGATAACGACCCCTAGATACGGCACTGTTTAGTTTATATCAGTATGTAAGTGTATGAGGTGCGGACTGACGTACCATGTCTGTGTGTTCATGGCGTGCTCCATGATCATGTGGCGGTAGATGCTGAGAACCCCCTTGCACACCTCCACCTGGTTGTCCAGTAGTTTGGGCACATCCTGGCATGGCTCCAGCAGAAACACGTTGGCCGAGTTGGTCAGGAACACCTGGGGATAGAGTAAGGAAATAAACTATGGTCAGGGGTTACGGAATACAGTCACATCTGGACACACACAAAAAAACGTTTCAAAAGACAAAACACGCTCGCAAGCAACATACCTGCAGGGTGGGCTGGATGCCAGCCTTGATGTCTCTGTTCTGTTCCTCAGTGAGACAGCCCCGGCTGATGGCACTGCTGAAGGAGTATGTTCTGCCCCAACTGGAAGAGCGCTTGTGACCATGACTCTCCAACACCTGCAGGAGGACACGACCGTCCAGTCAGCATGGCGAGTATGAAATTGAGTGTTCGGAGTTCATTTTAGTTGTGTGTAATAATAATAATAATAATACTTATATTTGTGTTTTATACACATGCGTGAAATGGAAATGTGTTTTTTGCATATCCCAACACCCCCTGAAACACCTTCGGAGAATGGGGTCACAGCCAGGGTCTGCCATTATCAATTAGGGTTAAGTGCCTTGCACAAGGGTACAATGACAGATGTTTCACCTTGTTGGCTCGTGGATTTGAACTAGCGACCTTTCGGTTAATGGCCCAACGCTCTAACCACTAGGCTACCTGCCGCCCTGTGTGAGTGTGTGTGTGGGTGGGTGTGTGTATCATTGACATTACTTGTGTGTGTGTGCTATCGGTCTCAGTGATGAGCAGCTGCTCTGGGTTCTCCTCAACCTCGGCCTGTCTGCTCTTCTCCGGCTCTGTCATGAAGCCTGGCTTCTCCTGCAGGATCCACTTCCTGTACACCTTGATCACCTTCCGGGTCGCTGACGCCTCACAGGAGGGCAACAGGAAGGCCTGGAGATACAAACAGAGATTATGCAATAGAAAATACAATATATGAATACTGAATACATGTATTTTCAGGATCATAATAAGGTGTTTGCTAAATGGCAAAAAGCAGATGTGGTGGCTAAGGACATTTGACTTGAATGTTACAAGTGTTTATTGAATTTGCTCCAACTCTAAGACGATGGCTTTGATGTAGTGATAGTGTCTTTCCACTAGATGGCAGCACACCACAACACATAACAACATGGTTTAGTATTCAGCATCATGTTCAAAAGCTAGTGGCGTACCAGAGGAAATCAGCTTCACAACTAAAACTGCTCTTGTAGAGGAAAAGCGTAGTTTATACTCTCATTGAGTCACTTGGAAACACTTTGTTATCATCTCTCTGCGGGCTGTACCTGGTGGAAGACCTCGTTGACGAAGTTGATGTTGTCCCGTGTGGAAAGCAGGACGCCGTGCACCATGTCATAGACGCTGCGGTGCTCCTCATCGATGCTGCACAGGCTGGAGTCGCTGGGACGCCGGTCAGACAGCGTGCTACTGTTAGAGTGGCTCTTCTCTGGCTCCGTGGGGCCGTTGGGCTCACCCTCACCACCACGGTCTTTATCCTTCTCCTGACTGCTACCGCCTGCAGTGACAGTCTGAACACACACACAGCACAGGCAGTGGGTTGGACAGGGTACCAGTGAGAGGGTTTAGGGCTAGGTTCCAGTATAAATTATAAAGACTAAGACAAACACAGAAGTAACTGTTGGTTGACTAAAATGATTCCAAATTGACATTAAAATAACCTCTCCTTGGAATTGACCATTAAGTCCTTCCTGCATTAAAGGGATACTTCGGGATTTTGCTAATGAGGCACTTTATCTACTTCCCTAGAGTCAGATGAACTTGTGGATCCCATTTTTATGTCTCTGTGTCCAGTATGAAGGCCGTTAGAGGTCGTTTCGCGAGCCAATGCTAACTAGCGTTAGCGCAATGACTGGAAGTCTATGGGTATCTACTAGCATGTTTGACAGCGGACCTACCTGGATGAGTTTGGGGATGACCTCGTTAGTCCCGTTCTTGGCGCTTGGGGTGGCGGTGCTGACGTACTTCTTCTCCAGGAAGAAGGTGACCAGCCAGGTGATGAAGGCCACACGGGGAGCAAGGTACTGGTCCCTCGTACAGAACGTGCTCTCGTTGTTACGGGTCACCGGGACATACAGAGGCTTTGGTCTATGGTGGGGGAGGTCTGGGGGAGGTAGGGAAAGGGAGGGGTCAGAGACACAGAGAGAGAAAGGAGGGTGATATATGGAAGGTGAGAGTGAAAGACACATAGTGGGAGTTAGAGAAAGATAAGGAAATTACACAAGATCTAAATACGCTGCTTTCAGTCAACATCCATTTTTTAGCTGTTACTGGCCATAATATGAGAATATTGAATTCAGCCCACAAAGTAATTGACCTGAACAACCCTGATAATTACAGTGAACCACAGCCTCATGGACCAGGTTAATGTTTCAAAGGATTTTAATTTCTATAATTCATGAAACCTCATTTAAACATGGGTTGAATACCTTTGAATTAACTGGCAATTAGCTAAAACTAGACATTCACTCTCAGAGAGAGAGTAGATCATTACAACAGGGGAAATTGAGAAAAGCATCAGGTTCATGACAAGACATCTAAATTGCCTGGCCTCAGGAATCTGTGTGCATCGACTGTAGTAATTAGCTTTTGGGTCACATTTTTTGATTTGGCAAAGGCCTGTTGCTGCAATTACAAATTAGAACTTCTGACTTGCCTGGTTCAATAGAGGAACATTATATTACACTTCCCAAAAAACATTTCAATTCTCCAAAGCTGCTTCTAAGGAGAGTAGCTAATACCCAATTTGCTACCAGGAGTGTGTTAGAGAGAGAGTGAAGCTGCACATTCAGTCTCTCAACTGGAATAAGCTCTTGAGTTTTTGCAAATTGACCCACGGTGACATGACGGTATAAAAGACTGCTCATAGCAAAGGGAATACACGGACTCACCCACACCCACACCCCTACCTAAAAGCGGCTTGTAAAGGTTGGTGAGCTTGGTGAAGGAGGGGAAGAGGTGGGGAAGATAGTACTTCTTGAACAGACTGAAGAGAAACCTGAAGCCGGTGTCCTGGTTGTCTTTGTTTGTCCACTCTAAACTGGACGCCTTTCAGACACAAAGAGACACACAGAGTTACAACACAGCCAGACAATAGGCCCCATACAAGCTTTGTACTGGATCCATTACTTTGTTTTTACAGGAAAGAATGGCCTCATTTGATTGGATCATGCATTTTGAAAGTATTCGACCAAGGCCACAGTGTGATCCAGTGTTGTCTAGGTAGGACTGTGTTGTAGCAGGAGCCTCACCTGGACAACCATGAACTTGAGCAGGGTTTGGAGGATGTAGCAGGTCTGGTCATCTGCCAGCTTCTCCCCTGGCACAGCCGGCACCAGCGGGGTAATCTCCTCAGGCACCACCTTGGCTGTTGAGCGTATAGAGAGAGAAACAGAGACACACTGATGAACACTATGAGCACCGTATTATTAATAACAGAACAGATCTCTAATACTCTCTGAGGAGTGAAGACGACCCATCTCACTCCAGCAGCCTGTTTTATGAAATAATCAGTGTAATTCCCCAGGACCCAGACAATCACAGTCAACTGCCCCAGGTCAAATTGCACAACTTCCAGATGGCACAGAAACAGGTCTTAACAAGCTGGGACACGTTCAACTGTAGGGACAGGGGACCAGACGACGGAGCAGGGAGAGCCTTGGGGGGGGCGGTGAGCGTGTGTGTTTGGTTTTACTATCCTTGTGGGGACCAGAAGTCCAGGATAGTAAAACAAGGAAAATTCAGGACAACTGGGGACATTTCGCCGGTCCCCTCAAGGAAAAAGGCTATTTTAGGCTTAGGGGTTAGGTTTATGGGTCCTGGTTAGGTTTATGGGTCCTGGTTAGGTTAGGATTTTGAATGGGAATCAATTGTTTGGTCCCCACAAGGATAGTAAAACAAACGTGTGTGTGTGTGTGTGTGTGTGTGAGATGTTGAGGGGTTTCACCATCGGGCGGGTTGGAGAAAGGGTTGTAGATGATGGTATCCAGGGTGCAGGGTCCTCTGGTGGAGGGCACAGCAGGGAAGCCTGGCACCAGGCAGGCGAAGATGAGGAACTGCTCCTCTGCACAGTTATTCTGCAGGGCCTGCAGCCACAGCAGGAACAGACGGATGCCCTCACATCTGATCTACATGCAGGAGGAGAGCGGACAGGTTACTGTACACGGAACAGGATCAGACTGCTCCGTTTCCTTCACAGTAATGTGGGAGAAAGATGTGCAAGTTTGTGTGAGAAAACACACAAAAAGTCTTACCTTGAATGAGTTTCCAGTGTGCAAAAGCTTTTTCAGAATAGAACCTGCAACGGAAAGCGAGAGAGCATGAACAACAGAGGACAACCCTGACACCAACAGAACAGATATGCCTTCCACCTGATGTGTGCTAGAGATACTAGACACCACTCTCTGCACATAGTTACACTTAACACAGAGAGACATTCATGTCTGGCTGTTCCATCAGTACATATTGACCTTGGGGGTGGTGATAAACCAGTCAGGGAGGGAAGGCTGCTCATTCTCCTGATGAAAATGAACATCAATTGCCTGGTGTGCAGTTATGAAGCCAATCAGGTCCGAAGTAATCAAATGAGACATTGCTCTGATTGCTAAATGCCTGCTTCTCCACTCATCAGGTTAAATCAATGACGGTCCCGGTGTTGAAAAAATGAAGGAAGAATAAATTGCTTCCAATCCCAACTCCTAGGCTCCAAAAGATTGGAAATTAGACATAAGGAGAAACGGAGGGAGACCGAGATACATTTTCCACCAGGTGACGGTCTGTGTAAATGCTTGTTTCACTAGTGGAGGAATCACTAAAAGGACACCACTGGGGCCTGTCTTACTGCATCTGACTAGGAGTTCCACAGCTTATGGCGTTCCTTGCCAGTGTTGCTAATGAGTTTTGTCCTCTACCTACGTTGGGCATTAGGGTCAATAATAGGTAACAGTTGTCTAGGTGAGGTGACTCCTTAAGGATGAGGCTAGGGAAGGAGGGACAGGTTTTAGCTGGTGATTTGTGGACCAGGGAGCAGGGTGCGTGTTTGGGGACTGCCGAAGGAGGATGAGCCTCCATATTTGGAGCAATAAGCCCCAGGGGTGATCGGCAGCGACGATCTCTGCCTCGTCGCTTTAGAGAAACGTCTGACAAACAGAAGATTATAATTGAGGTTATCGCTGCTTGCGAGGGTCCTCCTGCTAGCAAGGCTGAAACCGAGCGACGCATAATGAAATTACCAATTTGCATTTAAAATGAAGCTCTCATTTGCATTTTTCATTTACCTCTCCTTCCGCGACTAATTATTTTCTTCTCATACGAACCGCTAAAGCGTGGTTGTGTTGATAATCTTTGCTTCCGTGGGTTATTTTGGTGGTTGTAGTAACACAGAAGGGAACAGGCCTTTGACTACTGTACCCATGCAGAAGAATGCAAATATTGCCACTGTAGGCCTATTCAAGGAGGGTAGAGTAAGAACCAACTTAGAAACAGCTGATTCATTGGTACATACCTATACTGTGGAACTGCCATCGACTGTAGATTCTTTCTGGTAGAAGTTGCAGAATTTTCTGGAGAAGATGGGAAAGAACGTGTAAAACATTTGCACAAATGGCTGAGGTGAGGTGTCTTTCTCCAAACAGACAAATCAGGCAACATCAGTAAAAACCTGAAGACACAGGAAGAGAAACCTGATCACAGATGGAGAGAGGACATAAAACATTTACTTGATAGGCTTTAAAACAACTCAATATGGACTGGTGACACTTTTGCACGCCACACACTAGACTGGGCCTTCTCAGCCATACATCCTAAACAGAGCCCACTTTTTAAAAAAGCATAGCAGCCTCGTCAGTCAACCAGTAGTCACTGCTCTCTATTCCTCCTCCGTGTGCGTCTCCGGCCTGTTATAGGGGTGGCCCCGGTGACACGGGACAACGCTGGAAATGTCATCACCTCACCAACCATGGGATTTACAACTCAATTAGAGCGTGTGACCTTTCAGCAGGCTATAATTACTCCTCCACTGAGGGACGGGTTACCTGGGTCCCTCTGGGGGAGATGAAAAAGAGACCGGGGGATGGAGGAGAGGTATGGGGGAGGAGAGGTATGGGGGAGGAGAGGACACCACTGTGGAATGCGCAGTGTGTGGTGGCTGGTCCGATAATGGCCAGTGCATTGTGGGTAATTGATGAACCACTTGGTATATCAACCCTACCCTGGCCTGCATGAGAGCTCTACTCAGAGAGAGAGAGAGAGGAGAGAGAGAGAGAGAGAGAGAGAGAGAGAGAGGAAGAGCGAGAGAAGAGAGAGCGAGAGAGAGAGAGAGAGAGAGAGAGGAGAGAGAGAGAGAGAGAGAGAGAGAGAGGAGAGAGAGAGAGAGAGAGAGAGAGAGGAGAGAGAGAGAGAGAGAGAGAGAGAGAGAGAGAGAGAGAGAGAGAGAGAGAGAGAGAGAAGGGGGGGGGAGCTCTGAACATTATGTCCTCACCAGCAGTAGCTATACATGCAAACGGAATTTGCAGTGAGTCTTGAGAAATAGAGAGACTGAAGGAAGAGTCCACAGCCGGAGAGAGCGAGAGACCAGAGCCTGGATCAGTGGCCAGGAGGAGAGCAGCCACACCACATTATGCTGAGACGGACATCTGACAGACAGCCATCACTCCTGGTGCCTGCCTGTGGGACTGTGTCCCTGTGTCCTGGTTGACTCCTCTCTGATCCAGAGCGTGATGATACATGTGTCCCTCTCTATTGCACCTTTCTATTGATCCCAGCTGGGATTAGACATCCCCAGCTCCCAGCACTGATGCTCTCCTTAGAGAAGCAGACACATTATTCTAGGTGGTAAAACAGTTGGGGGTCAGCCTAAGCCTGTGTGGTTTCCAGAGAGGGAGTGTGTGTGTGTGTGTGTGTGTGTGTGTGTAATAACACCCACCCTTCGTCCAGGGGAAGGCAGAGAGAGAGGAGCAGAAGCAGGGAGACTCCCCACGGCGGTGGGAATGGCAGCCGCAACAATGGGACTTTACTGGCTGATATGAAGCGCTGTGAGCCTGACAAAGGGGCTGAGCAGAGCGGGCTGACTGAGTTCCTCTAATCTGGAGCCGTACTCCAGGCATAAAGATGGGGCATTACGGAGGGACGCGTCCAACTCCAACCACATTTACATGATCCGTACTTAGGTTTCCAGCCACAGGGTGTACATGACTCAGAATACACTTCTACCAGAGGTGTCCCACAAGGGCTTTCCAGTGCTCACAGACACCCTCAGGAGAACTTTGAAGACTTTGTTTTTGTCATTGTGCCCACTGATTCAAGCTTCACTTTGGTAGGATGTTACACTGCACCTGTGGAGTCTTCCTCATCCTTGTTTTGACGCAACAATGAGAAAGTTGGTGAATAATGCAACAGGACTCTGTGGAGTTTCAACTCATGTTAAGAGCGAGATTACTTTTCAGAAAACAAGAGTCAACTTTCTTAAACCAGCCATATATGAGCCAGAGACATTTGTTTCTATAGGGCAGTCAGTCAGTCAGTCACAGTGGAGTTTGAGTGAACGGCATGGCAGGCATGTGACCATCACAGCCCAGAGCCACAGCAGGCGAATAGAGCAGGGTCACAGTTCACTGTAATTTATTAAACTATCCCGTGAGCTTGCATTGAAAATGTTGGAGTAACTCAAATGTGTTGGAGACATGAAATAATGTGACAGTAAAATTTCCAGTCATACAGTGAAAGACTGAAAATGTTTCCAGGCCAACCTCCAGTGTAAACAGTGGATTACTCATTTACATGGAAACCAAAATCACCAGCCGTTTGTAGAACTAGATACTGAGCTCAACTGATGACATATAACCTATCAAATAGAAGTAGGCCTAATATGGTTTTGATCAGATTGGTTAAGTAGCCTATCAAATGGTGTTTCTGCTTGCTCATTAAATTTGGTCATAAGTTTCAGACATGCAATGTTGCATTCATGTAACCATAAAGGCATTTATGAAATGTCTTCATACTACTCTCTGGTCAGTAGGTGGCAGCAACAATACACTGCAGCACTTCCTTAAGCTAATGATTACCAGTCTGATCAGTATTCACATATTCCACTTTTCTCCAAGTCAAAGTCAAAGCAACCTGAATTCACTGACCCTTCAGTTTCATAGCATGTCTTAAATAACCTTTTAATGATCAGCTAGGATTTGTTTTTGACAGGACCAGTGAATACAAGTTCAACCCACTGACAGTAAGGCTGAGTAGCCAAATAAGGCAAACCCAGTGACGGGTGCCTAATAGATGCCCAGAAGTTTAGACAATAACAGCAACCTACAAAAGGAAGGCCTAGACTGCTGCTCCTCTACAGCATTGCACTACATGACATATCTAAACTCCCTAATATGGTCAGGTGAAGGCTTACATTGATGCTATTTAGCAGACACTTTATCCAAAGCCACTTACAGTCAATGTGTGCATACCTTTTTACATATGGGTGGCCCCAGCGGGAATCGAACCCACGACCATTGGCTTTGGAAGCGCCAATGCGTGACCGATTGAGCCACACAGGACAGTTTAAAAAAAAAGTATATTAGCATTTATATTTATACCAACAGTCTCTTGCAGAAGATCTGTCAATCCTAATCCAAACAGGAGGAGGAAAACATCATGGCTCCATGTTCATTCTCCTGAAGGATGTAGGCTAGTAGAAAACAAGACAATAAAAAGCCATTGAGCTCTTCCACCCTTGATGTGCACCAAGGGGAAGATGAGGCCATTAACCCAGAGACACAGAGGAGAGGTACTGATGGGCAGCCACGATACGGGTTGACATTATTTCATTCATGACCTACTTGGAACATTTACATTTACATACCCAGCATTTTAATGGTTCGGCTCTGCAGCGAGCTGTTAAACTGACATCAATCACGGCCAATTGTCTGCCCCCGTGAGCGATGGCGGAGACTAGCACAGTAAATAATGAGAGCTGTGTAAGCCGAGCGCTTTCCTCTCCTCCATGTCCTCTTTCCTTCCTAACATGATTACCGTCCTGTGTCACTACTACAGGACTGACTGAGTGTAGGCTGGCCTACTCATACGTCCTAAGGGTCTACACACACAGAAAAGCATAGAGTATTCAGTCGCTAGCTGATATCCCAAAATAGTGAAGAAAAGTAATACCAATGTAGCTCACAGAGCTGGCCTTTTCTGACTACTCTCCTTTACCCAAAGGCATATTGCCGTAGAGGGTGTTGCATCAAATAAGGTTTATTAATAACACTCTGAGCACTACCCTATTGAAGAATGAGTGTATTCTGGACAGACTGGGGCTTTCCCAGTCTGGAGATCAGAGCAGGCCTGAGCTTAGAGTGGTGAGTCAGGGGCTGGATGATGGATGGCTGGGGTCAGAGTCAGGTCGCAGCCCAGAGACTGGGGAAGCAGACACACACACTTCCCTCTGAGGTCCCCTGGTTACAGAACCAAAGGGCCACAGCCAGTCCCACAACCCTTAACCTGGTCAGAACCACAGCCAGTCTCACAACCCTTAACCTGGTCAGAATCACAGGGCCACAGCCAGTCTCACAACCCTTAACCTGGTCAGAACCACAGGGCCACAGCCAGTCCCACAACATCTAACCTGGTCAGAACCACAGAACCACAGCCAGTCCCACAACCCTTAACCTGGTCAGAACCACAGGGCCACAGCCAGCCTCACAACCTCTAATCTGGTCAGAACCTCAGGGCCACAGCCAGTCTCACAACCCCTAACCTGGTCAGAACCACAGGGCCACAGCCAGTCCCACAACCCTTAACCTGGTCAGAACCACAGCCAGTCTCACAACCCTTAACCTGGTCAGAACCACAGCCAGTCTCACAACCCTTAACCTGGTCAGAACCACAGGGCCACAGCCAGTCTCACAACCCTTAACCTGGTCAGAACCACAGCCAGTCTCACAACCCCTAACCTGGTCAGAACCACAGGGCCACAGCCAGTCTCACAACCCCTAACCTGGTCAGAACCACAGCCAGTCTCACAATCCCTAACCTGGTCAGAACCACAGCCAGTCTCACAACCCCTAACCTGGTCAGAACCACAGGGCCACAGCCAGTCTCACAACCCTTAACCTGGTCAGAACCACAGCCAGTCTCACAACCCCTAACCTGGTCAGAACTACAGCCAGTCTCACAACCCCTAACCTGGTCAGAACCACAGCCAGTCTCACAACCTCTAACCTGGTCAGAACCACAGGGCCACAGCCAGTCTCACAACCCCTAACCTGGTCAGAATCACAGGGCCACAGCCAGTCTCACAACCCTTAACCTGGTCAGAACCACGGGGCCACAGCCAGTCTCACAACCCTTAACCTGATCAGAACCACAGCCAGTCTCACAACCCCTAACATGGTCAGAATCACAGGGCCACAGCCAGTCTCACAACCCCGAGATCAACAAAACTGTATTTATCTGTGATTGAAATGCACTGTATACAAACTTGTGTACTGCACACAAAAATAACTTAGGCTACTTTTCGTGTGTGCCTCTCACAAATTTCCAATGACGTGCTGTCCACTGACCCGTCACCTCTGCCATGAGGGAGGGTAAATAACCATGAGTGAGTGGGTCTGGGACTCCTGTCATGTGACCACAGAGCTCCCGTCTTGTGACAATGACAACAGAGGTCTAGAGGGTTTTTCTATGACTTACACCTACATACACTTGCTGTAATTTGGGGCTCCCGAGTGGTGCAGCGGTCTAAGGCACTGCATCTCAGTGCTTGAGGCGTCACTACAGACCCCCTGGTTCGATTCCAGGCTGTATCACAACCGGACGTGATTGGGAGTCCCATAGGGCGGCGCACAATTGGCCCAGCGTCGTCTGGGTTTGGCCAGTGCAGGCCGTCATTGTAAATAAGAATTTGTTCTTAACTGACTTACCTAGTTAAATAAAGGTACAATTTAAATAAAAAAATGAGTGGCGCTCTTCCACAGCATTTCCCAACTGTTCCTCATCCACCTACTCAAATTTGATGTGAATTGTCGGTACAGCAACTCAACATTAGGAAGGTATTCCTAATGTTTTGTACACTCAGTGTAAATATTATAATATATTAACAGCGATCTAGTAATTCTGCAGTCTTCAAGTTCACATTCAAATCAAGTGCCACACACACACACACAAAACCTAAAGCATCTAAATCCAGTGTGGCCTCGTCATGTGGACTACTGCAAGGACGTTGTCATTCACTGATTAGCCCACTTGTAGGCTAGGGCAGATACTGTGCAGTCAGTGTGTACCTACTCTAAAGTCTGTAGTGTCCGCTGCAGCGGCCTAGCCAAAGCCTGCTCCCTCTTGGCAGTGAGGACACAGAGTAAAGTGAGGAAGTGATGGGGAGAGCAGGCCAGAGCTGGGCTGGGAGAAAGCAGCCATTATGCCCACTGCCAATCTGAGAGTGAAGGCAGGCAAGTGTTTCATGGGAGGCAGCCAGGGTAGATCAAGTTGAACAGAGGTGGTATTCACAGCATGACTTAGCAAACATGCAGCGTGTAGTGCAGGCTAGCAGCCCTATGTCCTCAGCTTTTATGTCACGCCTTTGAATGTGTGATACACTGTTAATGTGATGCGTCTGGCTGAGAGGAATCAGTCTGTTTCTGTTGTGCATTAGATCAGTGAGTGAGATAATTCAAGAGAAGACAGGCATTGATTGTAGCACTAATAGGTTGTTCAAAACATGGACTGAATAAGTGATGGCACGGCACCGACATTGGTTTGTTATTGTCTGGGAAAGGTATTGATTAGGCTGCTTATTGAATTCTTTAACTGCATGTATTATGAGGTGTATTGAAGGGCAGACGTACAGGTATGCTATGACATTTTATGTCTGTGGCATCAAAAGTAGAACACAGGCTCTCTGCACCTCATCATTCTGTGGTGTAACCACAGAACACACTACACAACAGTGTAACAGCGCAAGCGGTTGTGGCGGGTGTCTCAATGCCACCAGACACAAAGAGAGCAGGGAGGTGGCGGTGATGACGGCAGGGGTGGGGGTGCTTGGTTGAGGGAGAACAAAAGACCCATTACTCCTCTAGCAGGCTCCCCCCCCCAGCCACCCTCAGAAAGGGGGCTCACATACCGCACCACAGTGACAGTAAGGTCATCTCCACAGCACAGCCAGGTCAAAACAATAACACACTGGAGACACGCCAAGCAGGTCCAGAGATGGGGTCTTAGTTTGATGGAGGGGGAGCCTGTAGCCTAGTTTCTCATCTTTCCTTGGAGAGCTGAGACAATCGGAGCTAGTAGCTTGCTACCTTTAGTGAGGTATCTGGAGACTTCCAGGGATGAATTCATGAAGTGGGTTATTGAAGGCAGAGAGATGATTTATTCTTAGCCCGCCTGTCAAACCACATTAAAGTGTGTCACAAAGCGTGGTGGAGTCACTAATGGCTTTATCCTTGCAACAATCCAGTCACAGACACAGCTCTGTGCTATCTGGGGCTGGGGAGGCTGGTGCTTATTTTATGGTTGATTGATGAGCCTAACTAAAACTGATGATACGGACTTGCCACTGCTACTAGGGGCATTGCAGTTCACAGCACAAGATGTCGCCAATTTGAATATGATTGAAATGTTAGTGTGTGAGTACAAAGACACAGCACAGGAGTAAGGGCCCGACAACAGTCACATGCCCTCCCTTGAGAATAGAAGGAAATAAACCTGTGCACCACTACAAAACCGTCTTTTATGAGCTTATCCCATGCCTTTTCTACTGTACAATCTATCCCCTTACACTGTAAAGTGAATCATTTCTTTGGGGCTAACACAAAACGACACACATTAGTGCCAAGCGTATGTGTGCTTGCAGGTAGACCTGGATATCAAATCCATACTGTATAAACAGCCATGTATGATCCAACATGTCTAATCTACCAGCTCAGAGAGAAGGGAACACGATGTGTCAGCTGAGGATCAAAGCTGTCCGTATCAGTCCTGTACACACCACTCAGTGAGATTATCTTCTCAGCACACTGTAAAAACACACAGGGCTAAAGGGGACACACTAGGGTTAAGCTGCTTTCAATATTAGTTCTTTTTCAAAGGATACCTTATAAATATTTAAAAGGCATGTGGAATCCGAGGCCATATGACTGGGTGCGTGTGTAGACAGACAGACTGGGAGACAGACTTCTCATGCTGTGGAGTGAGGCTGAGAAAGACAGACTGACACCTAGCTTAATTCCACATGAACAGACAGAGAGCACTTCCTGTCAATACCAGGCTGGATGTCATCTTGACTGGAGCCCAGGTTTAAAAATGTATGGAGAGAGAAGTTCAGTCAGGTGAAAGTAAGGTATCATAAACAGTTTGTGAAGTTCTCACTCAACAGTCAATACAGGAGAAAGACTGTAAGCAGCTGACTGTGTCAATAACATACAGGATATTGCATACACCTGCAATACCAGCATGCCAATAAAGCACAACACATATAGCATGTTCTGCACCTCACACCAGTAAGTTTGCGAATAACAAGCCAAATGCAGTCCACATATGGGGATAAATTAGATGTTACATGATCATATAGGGGACACGTTGAAGATGCCTGGGTAGCTCTCTGACAGAGTAGAGCAGGGATGGGCAACTTTGATGGGGTGGGGGCCACAAAAAATCTGAACTCATCATGAGGGGCCACAGCGGCTGCCAGTTGCCCATCCCTGGAGTAGAGTGTATGGCCTGCTGATACCATTTAGCCTAGATTTTACACAGACCAGTGGGCCCATGTCCAGACCTCAGCCCTGGGCTCCTCTTCCTCGGTCCTGCCCTGCTAGAATGACCTCTGTCGACACAGTGAAAAGAACACTCCCCTCACACATAGACTCCATTTCCACTGAAAGGACCAGACATATGCTCTCTTGTCTCCGCCTCTCTTCCTGATCCAGAAACTGCCAGCCCGCCATGAGCAAATGTTACTGGAGAGCTGCCTGTTTGTATTGGAAACTGGAGCTACTGTTTGAGTCAGGTGGAAAAACAAGGTGGGGGACTTTAACCTCCAGGAGAAGCACCAGAGTGGAGAATGACATCAGTCAAGCTGTTTTTAAATCATGTAGCCCACACAACACTCACCTCTACTGAAGAAAAACACTACAAATTAATACAGTACACAGCAAGGTTTCTGCCATCTCTGTGTGCTGCCTTCAACAGTGATGAAAAACAATCAAGCTGGGTCTATTTATTCCTTAACAACCCCCTTTCTTTTTCTATTTGAGGTGAATTCAGGAAGTAGGCAGGCAGGTAGAATCAGCACCATGGAAACGGTGTTGGCCCCTCCCTTCAGCTGAATGCAGAGCAGAGTGAACAGGTTGAAATGCTGTAACCACAGAGACAGATCTGATCCATGTCTGTGGCTGGAACCGTCACTAGACATCAGACAGGGAATCATCATCATTCAGAACAGAAAGGTACAGCAACTTACTTCAAAAATAAAGAGGATAGAGTCCAGCTCCTCCCTCTGTGATTTGTTCCCTGAAAGAGAGAAGAGAGTCAGTTTCATCCATAAAAAGAGGAAAGACATTTCAACATTGGGGTTGGGAAACTGTCAGAAACATCCTCCTGTAGTCCAGCATCTGCTTTTCATTCAGATCACTTTTGTAAGTAATTGATTACAACACTGGTGATGTGAGTTCTCTCTTACAATGAAGTGAGAAATATTGACTTGGATGAGAACTGGCAGACCCTGCAGCTCTCTAGGGCCAGAGTAGTAGGGAAAGTGACTCTACTGTACTTCATCATTCCAAAGCACTGACAGTCATGTGACTTTCATGATCTGGTGTGTGTACTGTAAACCCTTCAGAGTGACGTGTGTGTGTGTGTGTGTGTGTGTGTGTGTGTGTGTGTGTGTGTGTGTGTGTAAGACCTCTACGTGTTATGAGCACTACAAAGAGACAGCTGCCGGTAGACCCGAGGTCACCTCCTCCCAAGGTTATCATCAAAATAGGGGTCTAAAGCTGTGAGGAGGAGACCGTGGTAGCTGAAGTCATCCCGCTCAACGACGTCATCATAACAGTGCTTTAAAGAGTAGTGAGTATGGGGAAAGTGGAGGGGGTTAATTATTGAAGGCCCTACGATGGAGCATGCATTAGACATGGAGGTTGTCGCCCAGGGCTCACAGTAAGTGCTGGAAGGGGGCTTGGGGAGAGGACCCACAGATTGGTGTGCATTACAGAGCCCATTCATTAACAAACAGACAGACAGCAGGGGGGAGAGAAGGCCCTGTCCAGAAACAACCCCTGGCTGTGCCCTACCCACTAAGCACTTAGATCTGAGTGGAGTGTAGCTCAAGGGGTAATGTCAGTGTGGAGTGTGTTCTGAGAAGGAGAGGATTCTGGGAAATGTGAGATTGCTGTGATGCACTTTCTAGGTTATTATGAACACCCAGCAATACTAATCCAGGGGTTCCCAAAGTGAAGAACAGCAGAGGTCTGCACTGCAGCTAGATCTCAAAATATTATTATTATTATTATTATGTATTTTGATTTTTTTTTTAATGAATATTGCTAGCAACAACACATTAAACACATTTTGGACAAGAGATCCATGGAAACATTTGTGTAGGGTGCAATACAATACAATGTGATATTATTCAGCCACAATTAATGTTCTTAACCCTCAGATGCACAACATGGGCCTGGGAGGCTCACAGGGATATTGATATCCACAGCACTCCATCATTGATACATTTCTTCAACTCAAAATGTTGTTCTCTGCTCCATGGCAAAATGTGTAGAATTGCAGGAAATTAGCTTTAAAACTGCAAAATGTTATCTCTGATGCCAAGAGGGGGGCCTTTAAAATGTTATTTCCCAGGACCCGAGACTTGATTAGTCCGGCCATGCACTGAAGAAGTCAAGGTAAAACTGCTTGTATGCTATTTGTATTGCTCTCTAAAGTAGGAGTTGTGTTCTGATATTATGAGGGGGTCCCTGATGAATTTGCTCTCACAAAAGGGGTCCCTGAAGCAAAAAAGTTTTGGAACCCCTGTACTAATCTACGCTTTCTACACCGGAACATTTTACACATTCTGTTGTGTACAGATATCTTTCAGTGACAGAAGATATAAAAATATATGAACCAAACCCTAAAATAATGACATTCCTATAGTTCCCCAGAATCTCCACTGTGGGCTGAGGAGGTGGTCCCTCTACAGTATCAAATTATACATATCAGACATGCTTTTGAGTTATGTACCCAGTAGGTCCCTCAGGTCCTCTGGCACTGGCCTGTTAACTCTCCCAAAGCCTAGCACCAATAGGCATGGAGAGGCAGCCTTTAGTTACTATGCCCCCAGCCTCTGGAATAACCTGCCAGAGAACCTGAGGGGGGCCAAAACTATGGACATATTTGAAAGATATCTTAAAACGCACCTTTTTAGCTTTGCTTTTCCTTAGGGTGCTTTTTTAGTCTTTCGGTTTTTATCGTCTTATGTTTGTTGTGTAGTAAATATTTCAGTTTTTATTTTCATTGTTTGTTTTTATTTCAATTTTTTTCCTGTGAAGTGCATTCTGTTGCATTCATATATATACATGTATATATAAAGCTTGATTTAATTTGGGTCTTTGTGCCTTGTCTTACTAGTTGTCTTTTTCCCCTCTGAATGGTCCCAAATCACTGAACATTCCTTGGTTGGGCACTCAAATAATTTCACTGCTGCAATGTAATACCAGATCTGAATTCATGTTCATCTAATTGGCTTTGAACAGCTAAGGGAAGTCATTGGAATGAAAACTACAACCCCTGCAGAATTGAACTTGACACCAGCTCTGAACGAGCTGAAAAATCCATTACCCAGCTAGTTATAAACTCTACTACTGGGGTGGATACTGGGGTAGTAGCCTTTTTTAAACAGACACACAGGCAGCACACCCTTCCTTACCTTTTTGCTTTAAGTTACTTTCCAGTGTAATGAAATTTTCATAGAAGATAAAATAAATCTGCGAACAGTTGCTTTCGAAGAAGGTCTTCAATTCACTCTTCTCAATGATATCTGCAAAGGAAACAGACAGAAACACACACTGTCAGATCAATTTTCAACCGCCAGACAAAAATACAAGGATTGTTGTTTAGTGAAACTGGGCAAAATATAAAATGGCTGCCATTATAGTCTAACAATGAAGAATTCCAGTGAGACAATTATCCATCATTCTCTCCCATGTCTCAATCAAACATATATGTTGTCACACATAATCATAAGCTTAAACATCCTTGGTAAATCAATGGATGTGAGGATTTACATAACAGCACACCAAGGACTTTGAGAGGGAAAACGTCTATAATTAGGCTAGCCCAACATGTTATAAAGAAAGCAGTTAACTCAGTGGATGAGGAGGATGCCTTCTGATCATTAAAATCCTGTGGTCCTCAGCAGATCTGAGAGGGAGGGATGCACATGCCTGAGTGGAGAATGGAATCCCCAGGAACATTACTGATGAGCAGGGACATGCTGAGGTACAGGGGAGGGCAGAGCCATAGAATTAGAATTGAGAATGTAGGCTTCTCTCTATGGGGGAGAGGCCCATTACACATCTGTCAATGGGACTTCACTAGCGCAAGCTGTGTCCAATTCCAGAATCTGGAGCAACCTTACTTTAGCCTACATACCGTATGACTCTTCTCCAATCCTCTGAACACCTTGATTCAAAGATGTGATGTTTTTGTATTTTTTTATTAGTTCAAATAAAACTAATACCTCACCATAACGTAAAAGGACTTAGCCATGTGTCGTGTGTGAGCTGTGCTGGTGGTTGGGGGTGATCTGTTATGGAGATGGAGAGAGAGTGTAGAGGTTTCAAGGCCAGGTCGAGGCATTTTGACCTCAGGTGATGCCTGGGTGAACAGGACCAGCAGCAGTCATACACACACAGTAGGTCTTGGCTAGCAGATCTATCCTTCAGCCAATTCCTCCTGTATTTGTTGGCATGCTAAACAAAATGACAAAGATGACTAAAAAGCACATAGTTCTGCAACCAGGCTAGAATGTCATTGTTTTCCTATTAGGATGTAAACCAATCCAGAATCAGGCTTGGTATCAGTCACAGAACCTTTCTCTTCCAAGCTACGTTCACTGTGATGAGGACATTTAACAGGGGGAAAACATCTTCTCCCTAATTGAGCAATTAAGATTCACCTTCTGTTGTGGCTCTAGTCTGTCCTGGTCCTCAGTTCTGTTCAATACACCCTCAACCACCAGCCAACTGGACGGGGCCCAAACCCAGCCCAGCTAGTCTCCAGTAATTGGCTCAAGGGGACTGCTGGTAGTTGTATCCAGCCAGCCACTGTGGGACAATGACAGTCTGTCTTGTGATTTATGTTAGCCCACAGATTAAAACACAGATAATAAAGAATCATGGATATCACCCTTGTCATAGGGTTTGAACCGGTGTTCCATGTATCTGGCCCACAGTTAAAGGCATATAACAACAGCCATCATAGAATAACTGGACCAGGATGAGACAAGAGCTGGTCTTGTCCTTTGTTCTAAGGCTAATCTGATTGCAGCTCTGATCTGATTGAATCTGAATATTGAATAAGGCCTGATATTGGAACATTCATCACAATCATCTGCAACAGAGTGGAATTGCAGCACCACATGCAATATAATACACAACACTAGGCTAAATATAAAACCATAATAATAACAACAACGCCAGAAGAAGCAGAGTAGCTTATTTCAAACTGCAGTATTCCCATGAATACCGGCAGCAAAACAGGGAAAACACACAGTAGCACATAAACACTGAAATGTTGGGACTAGGAGGGAGAACACAACAAAGTGTAGAGCAGAGGTGACCATTCTCCAGCCTGCATAGTCCATTCATTACATTCTGCAGATCCCTACCAGATATAACACATTTCCAAATCCTTAAGCAATGTTAACAAAATAATTAACTACTCAATCAGGTTAAACATTACACTTGTGTGCCAAACACAACATCATGGCAGATAAGTCTCCTTTACAGAAAGTGTAATATTTCCCAACAGTCCTCTTAATAATGCTGTATTTAGTGTGAAATAGGAGGGAAATTCCATTCACACACTATTAACACACTGACATAATAACCTTTTCTGCACATGTTCACTGGCACACTAAGCACTTTTGAAAGATTGTGAATCATTGAGCGCATGATCTGAGATGGGCAGGTAGTTGACTGAGCGGAGGCCTATCATGATCCAGCCCAGACTCAGTGAGTAGGTTACATAATGGTCTTTAAAGTTTGACACCAAATATTGACTTGACACTGCCTCTCTCCCGGCATCCATCAATCCCCCTCTCCCTCTCTCTCATCTGCCATGCTGGTGCTGGTATGCAGTCAATGAGCTAATCACACACTCCTTTTAGTTCACACCACACTGTCACACTTAAAACACACACACACACACACACACACACACACACACACCTCAGCCCATCAATACAAAACTCCCTGTCTGCCTTAAGGCGTCCGCATGCTTCCCAGCCGAAACAGTTTGGAACAGTTCGTGCATATATTATGGATGACATTTTGTGTCGTTTTTGTTCGTTTTGGACTTTGGCAAGGGTTTTTTCGGCTGTTTGGGCACACATTTTTTCTCAAGGCAAGCCGAAGTCAATAGGCAAAGTCTATGTCCCAATCGGCGATAGGTCAACAGTAGGAATTCTTCAATAATGTGCCTGTTGTCATTCAACGAGAGATGCACATTTTTTCACTTGAGAAATACTGCACCAAACATCCTAGTCAGATCCAAAATTGCGCGACTAAGATCTCCTCTGCAAAAACTGCTACGGTGTCTTAAAATAGACAAACAGTACTATTGCCGCTTTTCTTTTAAGGGAGTATGCGAGCACACTCATTCGGATTCACCTAGCCGAGTTGGGCTAGCCGGCAGCCGAACCGACAACAAATCAGTGCCAGATCTAGGAATAGATCCAATGAGCCAGCCAAATCGTTGAGCATTTTAGCTAGCCTTAGGCTACTAGGTCTAATGAATAACTTACAGGCCTAATAACCTGAAGGTGAAAATCCAAAGGTCTATTCAGACAGGGGGTGGTCTAATCACACACACTGTGCTCCTTACCAGCCCTATTCCCAGTGAGGAGGTCCAGTGAGGAAAGACAGTACAGACCCAATACCGAGGGCCTGGGCAGGACTCTTATCTCAGCCCCTCACATGGTTGACGATTCAGCACTGCTCATTGTGTTGGAGCGCTTCCTGCCTGCCGCTCTGGAAAACATGTTGACTCATCAGCAGCAGTACCCACCTACTAACCAACTAGCCTGCTGGGAGAGAACAGAGGACCAGCAGGCACATCCTCAGGGAAGGAGGGAATCAGGAGGGCTTGGGGGTCGTGTGTGTGTGTGTGTGTGTATGTGTGTAAGATAGAGTATAAAAGAGAAAGGAGTGCACACGTGCAAGCGGAGGGTCATTGGTCAGGGGATAAGGCCATCCCCAGGTCACTTCCTCCCATATACCTCTTCTACAGCTGTCAGACCAGCCTTAATTGTTCAGAGGGAATTCTTCTTCTTTGGACAACAAAGAAGCTACACAGAGTGGATTAATACACAAGGACTTGTGCATACATGCAATAACAAACATGTAATTCTAATAACTAGCCAACCTAGCGGTTCCTTCCCATCTCAGTTCCTATCTAATCAAATGCTAGAAAAAAAGAATATCCTGTCTGCTTGGAAATTGGAATGTTGAACTTCTGATCAACAACCAACATTGGGGGGAATTAGTTTACATGTCTGTCCAGCATCAACCTCTTAATTTGATATATTGACGTATATCTGTGTTTACTCCAATACCTTGAACATGAGGCAGTGTGCGTGCGTATGTGTGTGTGCCTTTTGTGTGTGTGTGTGTGTGTGTGTGTGGAGCTGGATCATTTCTGTTTGACGTCCTGCCCTGCTACATGTCACAGACCCATCAGAGCCTGTCATCCGGCTCTTTCTACCTCTCACATCGACTCACTGCTCTCCATCTGCTCAAATCCCTCTAGCCAGGTTGTGGAGCGTGACGGATGGAGCAAGAGACAAGTGCACAGAGAAGACGGGAAGATTTCTGACAGAGGGAAGAATTCTCAAGAGATCCTCTAAACAGACAACACAGTACTGTTGATCTGCTATTTACACTGGTGCATTTCAATGGACCTTTGCACTGTTAGTGTTTTCATGTGTTTGGGTAGGGTTTTACATTTAACCCTGTGGGACCCCCCACCCCCACTCAATGGGCTCTCAGTTCTCTTGTTGCCGTGCCGACGGATGTAGAACTGGTTCTGCAGGTCCGGGTAACGCAGGAGGCTGATATTATATTGTATCCTTTAGAGAAAACACAACACCCGTGTACTTCATCTGCTCTGACACCTCTCCTTTCTCATCACTCACTCACTCACTCACACAAAGCTGAGCTGCCTGACTGCATTGGGAAACAGGAGGGGGAATGTGGAAAACACCAGCCATTCACCTGGCATCATCACACAGCACTGACTGTTATGGCAGATATATATGTGAGGAGAGGAGATGTTTTGTTGTTCACTGGGAACAGGAGGAGGAACTGCTGCTCCGATAGTGCTGCTCCCTGCTCTTACTTCTCAGAGAGCCCTCTCTGTTTGTGGAAGTGAGTGAGTGCCAACATTTCACTGATCCCAACACAATAGCACCTCTCTCAATACAGTGGAGCAGAGGGAGGAGGGTGTTGGTGTGAGTGTGGTGAGTGTGGTTAAGAGACTCCGGCCAAGTTCAACAGCAGAGAACAGACCCGGGGTCAATTGCTATTCCAAACTGTTTATTTGTAATTCCACTCGGCCAATCGTTAATTCGCCTCTTGTCAATGGCAGTCCGGACACAGAGCTAATGCCTTGTATCTTAAACGATAGTAAGCCACAAGAGTACTATTGAGTCACTCTGCAGGGCAAAGAACCAGAATATGGGCCATATCCCAGAGAAGTTAAGAAGTGGGCTACCTGAGTAAATCTTCTACACTGAAAATGAAACCAAAAAAATAGT